TTCCTCCTCTCTCTCTGCCTGCCTCTCTGCCTACTTGTGATCTCTGTCTGTCAAATAAATAAATAAAATCTTTAAAAAAAAAAAAAAGTAAAGATAATTAGTATTAAAATTTCAGACAGACTGTTCTTTAGAACAAAAGAGATGTCCGAGACAAAGTGAGTCATTATGCAACAATAAGGTGATCAATTCTTCTAGGAAACAAAATAATACTTACGTGATCCTAACAATAAAGCATCAAAATACATGAGGCAAAAACTAATAGAACTGCAAGAAGTAGAAGAATCCACTACTACAACTGGGAGATTTCAACAATCCTCTATTAGGATATAGGCAGATTCAACAGGCACAAAATTAGTACTTTCATAATGGAATTCAACATATCCAACTGAATATAATGGACAACTACAGACTAGTACATCAATAGCAGAACATAGTTCATAGCGCATATATTCATTAACACATTTAAAATACCAGATGAGGGGCGCCTGGGTGGCTCAGTGGGTTAAAGCCTCTGCCTTCGGCTCAGGTCATGATCCCAGGGTCCTGGGATCGAGCCCCACATCGGGCTCTCTGCTCGGCGGGGAGCCTGCTTCTCCCTCTCTCTCTCTCTTCCTGCCTCTCTGCCTACTTGTGATCTCTCTCTCTCTGTCAAATAAATAAATAAAATCTTAAAAAAATTAATTAATTAATTAATAAAATAAAATAAAATAAAATACCAGATGATACAACACCTAAACACAGACAATAATGGAACTAAGCCACAGATCACTGACACAAAGATAGGCAAATGTACAGAGATTAAAGAACATTTCTAAACACATGGTTGAAGAAGGACTCTCAAAAGATTATTCTGAACTAAATTCCAATGAAAACACAGCTTGTGAAAACTGAAATGCAGCAAAATCAACGCATTAAAAAAAAAAAAAACAAAGAAAGAAAGAAAGAAAGAAAAAAGATCTGCTCATCTAAGTTTCCTCTACGGGAAACTAAAAAAATAAGAGTAAATTAAATTTAATGTAAGTTGGCAAAAAGAAACATTCAGATTTAAAACAGAAGTCAATAAACTGAAAAAGGAAAATCAACAAATAAAAAAAAAATGAGACCAAAAAATGGCTCTTTGTACAGATTAGTAAAATCACTATAACCATGTTAATTGGGGAGTGGGGGGGGGAGACTTCACTCATGGGGAGAAAAAAAAATACTGGACATCACTATAAATACCATGGTCATTAAAGAATAATTTGACAATCTGGGTAAGATTGAAAAATACAGTCTACCAAATATAATATGAGAAGAAAGAGAACCTAAATGAGCCTGTAACTATTAAAGAAATTCCATCAATAATAAATAACTTTCTATAATAGAAAACACCACAAGGGCCAGGTGAAACTTACTGGCTGAATTCCTCAGTGCACTTAACAAGACCAAGATGATGATTACCTTAACAGCAACACTAAACATTTTAAGATGTTACCAAAGATGTTATAAAAAGACAATACAAAAAAAAAAGGAATATGTCTTATAAACACAGGTGCAAAAATCCTCTACAAAATATCAGCAACTAGAATCTAACTATGTATAAAAAGAATTATATACCATGGCCAAGCGGTATTTATCCCAGGTATGCGGGTTGATTCAACATTAGGAAACCGCTCATTGTAATCCATCACATTAAAACACTGAAAAAGCAAAACCATATTATTGTATGATCTATACAGAAAAAGAAAAGCAAACACAAGCATGGTAAAATTACTCCCATGAACCTGGAATACAGAGAGACTTCCTCCTGTGGGAAGAATATCTACAAAAAGGGGCGCCTGGGTGGCTCAGTGGGTTAAGCCTCTGCCTTCGGCTTAGGTCGCGATCTCAGGGTTCTGGGATCGAGCCCCTCACCGGGCTCTCTGCTTGACAGGGAGCTTGCTTCCCCTCTCTGTCTCAGCCTGCCTCTCTGCCTACTTGTGATTTCTCTGTCGAATAAATAAATAAAATTAAAAAAAAAAAAAGAAAAAAAAGAATATCTACAAAAAGACTACACCTGCATTTTATGAAGGGTGAGGAACGCAAAGCATTCCCCAAGATCAGGAACAAAGCAAGGTTGGATCCATCAAATTACAGTGCAATTTTTCTTCTTTCACCTTTGGTAGATTAGTAAATAGATTGTGGTATGTGCCCAGAAAAGGAAATGTTATTCAAGATAAACAAAAATGAGTTCTCAAGATACGAGAAGACATAGAGGAAATTGAAATGCATATTATTACATAAAAGAATCCAATGTGAAAAGGCTATTTAAAATATATTCAAACTATCTGACATTCTGGAAAAGGCAAAATTTGAGACATAAAAATATCAATGATACCCTGGAAGGAAATTGTAATTAGGTAAAGGACATAGAATTTCTAGGCAATGGAATTCTCTAGATGATACTACATTGGTTGGGAGTTCCTGCGTGTCTCTACTGGTTGACTGACTCTTGATTTTGGCTCAGGTCATAATCTCAGGGTTGTGAGATTGAACCATACATAGGGCTCATGCCCAGCAGGTACTCCGCTTCAGATTTTTCTCCCTCTCCTCTCCCCAGGCACAGTAACTCCTCATCCCACACACAATATCTCTCTCTCAAATAAATACATGAATCTTAAGTGAAAAGAACAAATAAAATGGTGGAAACGATGTGCAAATTACATATCTGATACAGGATTAACAACAATAATACAGAGAAAACTCCTGCAACAAAACAAAGTAAAACAATTTAAATTTTAAAATGGGCAATGAAACTGAAGAGATATTTCTCCAAAGAAGGTACACAAATGGCTAATCAGCAAAAGAAAAGATTCTCAACATCACTAACTGTAAGGGAAATGCATATCAAAACCATAAGATATCATTTCACACCCACTACAATAGGTACTACTGGAAAAAAATGATAAAGAAAACCTCACAAATAGCAAGATAACAAGTGCTGGGAGGATGTAGAGACGCTGGAACTGGTATGCACTATTAACAGAAATATGAAATGACATAAGCATGGTGGAAAACAGGTTCTTAAACACTCAACACAGAATTACCATATGATACAGCCATTCCACTTCAAGCCATAGACCCAAAAAACTGAAAGGAGGGGTAAAAACTTATTTAAACCCAACTTTTCACAGCATTATTCACAACAGACAAATGAAAACAACACCAAGCAAAACATACATGGAAATACAAAATGTTGTATATATACAACAGAGTATTTTCAGCTTTTCAAAGGAGTGAAATTGTTATACCTACTACAAAATACATGGTATAGGAAGACTTTTTGCTAAAAGAAATAAGCCAGATACAAAAGGACAAATATATGATCTCACTTCTGTAAGCAACCAGAACTGTCTCATTTATAGGAAAAGGAAGTAGATTGGTGGTTACCAGGGATTATGGAAAAAAGATAATGGTGATTTCCCTACTTAAAAGAAAGATATTTTTGGGGTGCTTGGGTGACTCAGTGGGTTAACCATCTGCCTTGGGCTCAGGTCATGATCCCTTGGATCATGCCCCGCATCAAGGGGGGAGCCTGCATCTCCATGTCTGCCTCTGCCTCTCTCTCTGACAAATAAATAAAACTGAAAGAAAAAAAAAAAAAAAGATTGTTTCAGAGTGAAATGATGAAAAATGCTAGAGACAGATAGCAGTGATAGCTGAACAACACTCCGAATTTAAAGCCAATGAACTACACATGTAAAAATTATACAAATGTAAATTTGTAATGTATACCTTAGCACAAAAAACTATATATTCATAATTCACACATAAGTCATTGATTCTTCTGGCATCAATTATAAAAAATGTAAAATGAAGTCAGAACCTTAAACACTTCTAAAAATAAATGGCATGAAAAATTACAAATTTAAAACTTTATACCATATGTGGTATATTTGCGTTAGTACTTGTTCATGTATTCTTTAAAGAGTTGACTAGCTTTAAAAAAGACGCTAGTCTTTCTTTTAAAGAAATATGGTTAAAAAGATCTTCAACAAGAATGCTTATCCTATTTTTAATAAGACTTCTGCATTATTTTGTCTGTAATATACTCAGTTCAAAGTCAGTTTTTACTTTTTTTTTTTTTTTTAAAGATTTTATTTATATGACAGAGAGAGAGAGACAGCGAGAGAGGGAACTCAAGCAGGGGGAGTGGAGAGCCAAGCAAGGAGACGAATGTGGGGCTTGATCCCAGGGCCTTGGGATCACGAGCCAAACCAAAGGCAGATGCGTAACCACTAGGCCATTAAGGCACCCCAGTTTTTACTTTTATGATTTTTATTTTTTTATTATTTACTTTACTTATATTTATTTCCATGTAAGTTGAAACACAATGTTATACTAGCTTCAGGTTTACAAACAAAACGTGCAACAGTAACTCCATACTTGATGCTACACTCACAACTGTCTACCATCTTCAAATACATAGTTCAAATTAAAAACAACATAATTTGAGAAGTGTTTGAAAAATGTATTTAGTGATCTGATAATTAATGTGAAAGAATCCACAAAGTTCTATTTTAAGTAACTGCTAGAGGTTTCAATTTCTGATTTACTTCCTAGTACCATTCTTTTTTATTTTTGTACTTCTCATATATTTTGAGACATTTTTGCTTCTCCTGCAGTTTTCTTTAAAGACTACAAGTGACAAAGAAAGAGTACCTTTCATAAAAAACAAAGTGAAAACACCTTTTGATATTTGACTAAATGAACGTGAGACCTACTCAGATAGTTTTCCTTAATATTAAATCACTCTACAACTATTACGTAGACTTACTTTACTATTTTAATTAGAAATATTTCAAAATTAGAAGATATCATGTGAGACAGAAATTTTCTTTTTTATCTTCACCTTTGCTTAAATTGTTAATAGTTCAGTAATTTCTAAGGTGCAACACTTATAAAACAGTTATACAAACTAACAGATTATTATAAAAGTAATGGGCATTTAGCAAAATAATCTCCAGGAAATAAATACTCACTCTCAATGATTCCTGGAAGGAGGAGGCTTGGTACTGTGCATACTTAGCAATTGTAGTGTGAGATCTATTACTTTCACAACGCCAGATTTTCTTAGTTCCAGTGGGATCCCAGTTTTCATCTGCTGGTTGCAACAACTGTGTCCTCACTTCTACAGTATGTTCGTTGTTAGCTTCTACCAAAGTTTTGGTAGAGAAAAGTCCAAGATCTTCATAAATAAATAAGTTGTGTTAATAAATAAAATTGTATGTGGTACACTGGACATTTAAAACTATGTAGGAAAATCCTTAAGGAACTCTATCCATTTTCCTGAAGACTACTTGAAGCCATGTAGGGCCACAATTGCAAAGCAACTCCTTGAAACACATAACTATCATGACAGGATATAAAAAGGAGCTATAGCACTTACAAATAGGATATAATTTTACCTATATTCTATAGCTTAGAAAGACTTCCATTGCGTAACCTGTAACAGTAATGTTGCATAACGACACCCAATTAAAAACTTAGTAAACATCCATCAAAAATATGTCAGTAATGGCATCACCTACTAAAGATAATCTAAAGAGGCAGAGAGAAAAAGAACAGAACACTGAACATTGAACGGGAAAAAAAGTTTTTGCCAGTGTTTTAAAATACTAAAGATAATTAAAAAAAACAACAACAACAACTTCAGGCTTTCTTTTTTCAATCTTACCTAGTTTAAGAGCTCCAGCAAGGCCACGTATTACTGTAACAGGGTTTTTGGGATTTGTACAAAACTGATGTAATGGAGGAAAGAAAGCATCACGCTTATTTTCCAACTGTAAAATTAAAATGTTTTGTTAGATTTCATAAAAATGATTAAAAATTATAGTGCAAATCTCTATTCACTTTTTCATCATTTTTACATGTAAATTATTTTTATTTTTACATTTTAAAATGTATCTTAACCATTAATACTGTGTTGCTACACGTTACAGGATTATATCATTAGTTTTTGCAGGAAATTATTAGAAGTTAATAGCTACATAAATTTCTCTTAAAGAAACACATCTTAATTTGATAGTTTCAAATGAAATTACCAATGTGTTATATTACACTACTGTATCACATTATACTAAAACTGATATGATGATATTTAAACATTTTAATAGTTCAAAGGATTACCTAAGTGTACTTTAACTGTACTTGAATACTTCTTGTATGAAAGAGGTGGGAGAAGTGAAACTTAATGTTCAACATCAAAGTGCTTTTTAAAAACTAAAAGCAAAATTAAAAAATGATTCAATAAGACCTATAAAGTATTCATTTTCCATTTATTCCCTCAAGTTTATTTTATGTTTATCTTACATCTTCCCTTCACAATAACATATGCATACATTTTAATTTGATAAAGGATAATATAACACTAGGAAAAGAAAAGACCAAATTTCAGTATCTCCTATCAATAAATTCATTCTTAGTGCTTATTATTCAACTTTTAGCTCAAAACTTTTTTTTTTTTTTTTTTTTTTGTTGCACATATCTAAGGGAATATAGCAAGGATGGACAACAAAATTCTTTGGGGAACAATCAATTATTTTGGTTTATATCAACTTTTACAACAATGTACATTTTCTAAAATATAAGACATATAATATACATTTAAAACAATGTTAACTGGGGCGCCTGGGTGGCTCAGTGGGTTAAAGCCTCTGCCTTTGTCTCGGGTCATGATCCCAGGGTCCTGGGATTGAGCCCCGCATCCGGCTCTCTGCTCAGTAGGGAGCCTGCTTCCTCCTCTCTCTCTGCCTGCTTTCTCTGCCTGATTTCTCTCAGTCAAATAAATAAAATATTTTAAAAAAATAAAAAATAAAACAATGTTAACCAAAAATGACACAAAAACAATTCTTTTGCTACTCTCCAATAATCCCCGTCCATCTGTGAGACGATACTTAAATATTAACTTTAACAAATCTTTCTGAATAAACCACCAGCCAAAAACCTTTTCTAGGGTGCTTGGGCAGCTCAGTCGTTAAGCATCTGCCTTCGGCTCAGGTCATGATCCCAGGGTCCTAGGACTGAACCCTGCACCGGGCTCCCTGCTCAGTGGGAAGCCTGCTTCTCCCTTCCCATTCTCCCTGCTTGTGTTCTTGCTCTTGCAGTCTCTCTCGTCAATTAAATAAATAAAATCTAACAAAACAAAACAACAACAAAAAAACCTCTTCTACAAAAGGACAGGTGGTAAATGTTTTTGGTTTAAAAGACTGTACATTGTTTTGTTAACTACTTAAGTCTGTCAGTCTAGTGCAAACCAATCACAGACAACATGTAAATAAAAAGCACGCTGTGTAGCAATAATTTTTCATAAAAAGAGGTTGGTATTTAAATTGAGAAATGTTATTTATCATCTTCTGGGATAAGATATGTTTTTCCAGAATCATCAACTTGTGAGAAAAAACTTAATGTTGTCTAAAAGGGCATCCACATTGGTATAAAAATTTATCTTCAAAAGACAGACAAATTTAAACACGTGACATATTCGTATTTTGTCAGTGAAACAAACTCACATAAATGCTAGGTGTGGGTGGATTCAACTTGTCTTTAGGCAAAGGAGGGTATGGTGAAGTTGGTGGTCTTGGAGGTGGACATTTATCCAACAAAATATGACTATTAGACAATCCATTTTTGCCTAGATTCCTGGAAAATAATAAGCAGAAAAAATGTATCAGCTATACATTAATTTTGAGAGTAGAAAGTTGAAAAAAGTAAAATTAAGTAAAATTTTTAATTAAAAATTAAAATTAAGTAAAATACCTAAGGTTTAAGTATATATAGCACTTACAAAAATAAAGTCATGCTAAGTTATTGGTATCCATTCATTAAAAATTACAAAAAACTTAATTTTGGCAGAAATTCACTTTGATTTCTTGTATCGTTTAAGAAAACCTAAGTGAAATACACTACATATCCACATAACTTGATTAATTAACAAAATTTTTCTAATTTTCCAATTTATTTTCTTGCCTGAAAATATAAACTCCAATTTTATCAACAGGTTTCCTCTTTAGATTTTCTTCACTTAGTATTAACAGTACTTTGAACCAAAAATAGAAGAAAGTAATGTTATTAAGATTTGTCTCTTTTGGGGTGCCTGGGTGGCTCAGTGGGTTAAAGCCTCTGCTTTCGGCTCAGGTCATGGTCTCAGGGTCCTGGGATCAAGCCCACATCAGGCTCTCTGCTCAGCAGGGAGCCTGCTTCCTCTTCTCTTTGCCTGCCTCTCTGCCTACTTGTGATCTTTGTCTGTCAAATAAAAAAATAAAATATAAAAAAAAAAAAAAGAAAAAGATTTGTCTCTTTTCATGGGACGACTAGGTGGCTCAGTTAGTTAAGCATCTGCCTTAGGCTCAGGTCATGATCCCAGGGTCCTGGGATCAAGCCCTGCATCAGGCTCCTTGCTGGGGAGCCTGCTTCACTCTCTGCCTCTGCCTGCTGTTCCCCCCTTACAAATAAAGAAATAAAATCTTAAAAAAAAAAAAAATTTGTCTCTTTTCCTAAATGTCTTATTTCCAGAGTAACTGTCAACTTTCAAATCCAGAAAAACCATGTTTTCTATTTTAAAACTGATTTTATGTAATTCCCTAATATTCAGGAGGACATCATTTTACTGTAATTTATTACAATAATTTAAAGAATAATATGTATAGTTTTGGATTAACATTTTTCCCTTTGTGAAATATATATAAGTTACAAATTTTTGAAGTACAGGAAAATTACTCCCCAGTGCATACTTTTTTTAGTATATGAACACTACAGGAATATTTCTAAAGTTTTAAAATTTAAAAACAAAAACAAAAAAACCCTCAAAACAAATACAGAAAACTGTTAAGCCTTTAAAATCATTGAAACTGGGATGCCTAAGTGGCTCAGTTGGTTGGGCATAAGCCTCTCAGTTTCAGCCCAAGTCATGATCTCAGAGGTAGTGGCATGGAGCAAGTGCAGGACTCCGCCATCAGCAGGGAGTCACTTGGGATTCTCTCTCTCTCCCCCTCTCTCTGTCCCTCTGACTAATGTGCATGCACTCTCTCTCCCTCCCCGACTAAAATATTTTTTAAAAATGAAACTAGATTGGGGCGCCTGGGTGGCTCAGTTGGTTAAGCGTCTGCCTTTGGCTCAGGTCATGATCCCAGGGTCCTGCTCAGTGAAGAGCCTGCTTCTCCCTCTCCCTCTGCCTACCTGTGCTCGCCCTCGCTCTGTCAAATAAATAAATAAAATATAAAAAAAAAAAACAAAACTAGATTGCCCTAATTATCACATTAAAAAATAACTGATGAATTAAGATATGGAAGGAAAACCATTCCTAAAAATACTAAAATTTCAAAGAATCTGCAAACTATTTTGGGAAATAAAATATACATCAGTAATTGCATTTAGAACAGATTAGGTTTTTAAAATTTCAGATCATATAGTAACATAAACTGAAAGCAAAATTACCATTTCTTGATTAACTATTTTTGCTAAAGAAAAAAACTTTCAAAGTTAGGCCTTTGGGGTAATGAAAACTAAGCTTCAAGTTCAATACCTGTCAACTATACAGATGCCATATTAAATAGCTCTGAGGGTATATAACTTATTTTTTTAACTGTAATGAAGAACATCTAATGTTGTAATCAACAATGAGGTTTAAAGGGACGCCTGAGGGGCTTGGTCAGCTAGGATCTGCCTTTGGTTCTAGTCATGATCCCAGGGTTCTAGGATTGAGTACCACATCGGGCCCCTTGCTCAATGGGGAGCCTGCTTCTCCCTCTGCCTGCCACTCCCCCTCCACTTGTGCTCTCCCTTTCTCTCTGAGAAATAAAGAAATAAATAAAATCTTTAAAAAAAAAAAGGCTTAAAATTACTTTTTAAAAAAATAAAACAATGTGCAGTCCTATATTAAACTAAACTTCTATACTTCTAAGTATTTATTAAGGTTAAACGTTAAATGAATAGTTCCAGTACCTACAAAACATGATGACCCATATTGTTTACATTACCAGTTAGATATGATACATTTTTAAGTTTTAAAATACAGAACTGTTCCTAATTTACAAAATCCACAGAATAACTGCTTTTCACAAGTAAAAACTACCTGTCTAAAGCTGATAAAGGGAAAATGCAAGTATCTTCTTAGACCAATGCGTTAAGACTCAATACAATCTCTATATAATAAAGAAATGGTTTCAATGCTGGATTATGTATCACTTTATAGTACATACAATTCAGATTGATTACAAAAAGCTTGTTTCATAGAGAGAAATGTGATAGAATATAACATAATATTTCAGAATACCACAAAATATGGGTCAAATATTAACAAGCTCTTCAAAGACTTTTAAGCCAATTTAATGTGGCATCAAGTTCAGCTATTCACAGTATAAAAAATAAGACTAGGTAATAGGGACGCCTGGGCTCAGTTGGTTAAGCAGCTGCCTTCGGCTCAGGTCATGATCCCAGTGTCCTGGGATGGAGTCCCACATCGGGCTCCTTGCTCAGCAGGGAGCCTGCTTCTCCCTCTGCCTCTGCCTGCCATTCTGTCTGCCTGTGCTTGCTCTCTCTCCCTCTCGCTCTCTCTGACAAATAAATAAATAAAATCTTAAAAAAAAAAAAAAGACTAGGTAATAAAAAAGGATAGATAGTGTATGTCTCCATACTTTTTACAATTCTATAACAGAATACGGATATACAGAAAACTCAAGCAATGTGAAATGTAAATATATTTCTAAAAAGAAAAAAAGACATGCACAAGAGAGCTAAAACTAATTCAATCTCTTGAATACTGAAGTTACAAACTAAACTCTTAAGAAAAGCAAGATACCATAAGTGCAACCAAGATGAACCAAACAATAGCACTTTAAAAATAATCATGACTTAGGGCACGTGGGTGGGTCAGCTGGTTAAGTGCCTGGATTTGGAATTCCGCTCAGGTCATGACCTTGGGGTTGTGGAATGGAACCTAAGGTCTGGCTCAGGGTTGGAGACTGAGCGGTTGCTAAGCCATTCTAAGATTCTCTCTCTCCCTATCTGTCCCTCACCTCTCCCTCTAAAAAAAAAAAAAAAAAAAAAAAAAAAAAAAAAAAAACAAGACAAATAAAAATAAAACTGACTTCAAAAACCTATGAGGAACACAGATATGTAAGAAAATCTAGAACAAGTAATACAATGAAACCACATGGTAATTGCTTAATATATTTCTACCTATTAAGTGCAAGTCAGAAACTATAGGAATTTCACTCACAGAACTAATGCATGTTTTTGATAAGAAAGAAACCACAAGTTTTTCTCTGCTAAAAATACAAGAGTCAACCCCAGGGCAAAAGTACAGAGTTGTGAACAAAATAAGTAAATCAGTTTTTTTTTTTTAACAGGCATATATCTGCAACTGTCCATGGGAAATGTCCTTCCCTGTGAAGGGAAGAAGTGGGGTTTTGGGCATAGACATAGGAATGCTTGAAAGAGTTTACTTCATTTTTAAAGACTTCTTAAACCTTCTTTTACTCTAAAATGAAAATCCATTATTACATAAAAATTCTTTTTAAAATGTTAAATTTACTTTCAAACATATCACTTAGAACAAAAATGAAAGGTATTTTATAGATAAACTCATATACAATTTAGTTTCTTTCCTCCAGAAGTTTCTTAATGAGGGAGGGTTGGAACTCTCATACTGATAATTCTTCCTTTACAGGAATATGAATTCATCCTGTGTAGAACACGTCAGTATTAACTAACAGAACTGCAAGACAGTTATCTCCTGTTAACCTGGTTCTTTCTCAAAGTCTCAGAATAATTTTAACCTTAACATTCAGATCCTGTTCTGTTATTCTCTTTTGTCCTTTCTATTTGTTTTTTCCCTTTCTGATTTCTGAATGAATGGTGGTGGTGAATATACCTTCAATACTAAATTAACAGTTACACTAAAAAACTGAAACAAAGAAACATGCAGTCACAGGTTTATACAGTATCTTAAAGATACTTGCAACTTTCTTTTTTTTTTTTTTTTTTTAAGATTTTGTTTATTTATTTGACAGACAGAGATCACAAGTAGGCAGAGGCAGGCAGAGAGAGAGGAGGAAGCAGGCTCCCCGCAGAGCAGAGAGGCCGATGCGGGGCTCGATCCCAGGACCCTGGGATCATGACCCAAGCCAAAGGCAGAGGCTTTAACCCACTAAGCCACCCAGGCGTCCCGCAACTTTATTTCTAAATATTTTATTTTTAAGTAATCTTTACAGCAAATGTTGTGCTGAAACTCACAAACCTGAGATAAAGAGTCATATACTCTTCCAAATAAGCCAGCTAGGTACCCCAATACTTTCAAGTTTAAAAAATAAAAATCATATCCGACATAAGGAAGAAGTCCTTTTAGCGGTTGCTAAGCTAAAATGAATCTTAACCTTGTTTACCCAAAACTGAGTATTTACAGACATTTCAAAAATGAGACGAGGTTAAAATCTTGAATCTACTAAAAAATATGAAAGATACCAATTTCATTTGATCGTAACTTTACATAAAATATTAATTATTTTCATTACTCCACATTAGATGGCTGCTAAGTACAAATTACATAAAAAATTTTAAAATGTGCTATACTGCTTAACTTTCTCAGTGATACACATTTAATGGCTGACTCATAATCCTAATAATCTAGTAACTCACATCTAAGCAAGTTTTAGATTCAGCACATAGAGAAATACATAACCAGCAGTTTCAAGAGGAGATTTAGAGTCTTAAATTAAGTAAGAATTATTTTCAACTATGAAATTCAAAACATGTAGTAAATAGCCAAGGTACTTCAAAAATACGTAAACTGCATTTACTTTCTATTTTACTTAATTTCAACCTCAAATTAAAAAGATCTTTTAAAAAACCCAATGTAGGGACGCCTGGGTGGCTCAGTGGGTTAAACCTCTGCCTTCGGCTCAGGTCATGATCCCGGGGTCCTGGGACCGAGTCCCGCATCAGGCTCCTTGCTCAGCAGGGAGCCTGACTCTCTCTCCACCTCTCTCTCTCCACCTCTGCCTGCCTCTCTGCCTGCTTGTGTGCTTTCTCTCTCTCTTTCTGACAAATAAATAAAATCTTTAAAAAATAGTAATAAATAAATAAGTAAATAAATATAAAAAAACCCAATGTATCAGTGTTCAAATTTCAAATGTTACATAATAAAAACCTTATAGAGCATTTCATATATTTACCCTAAGCACTTACTTTATCCAAGTTTTATTAGTGTCTCTAAACAATGAAAAAGTTCATTTATAAGTAAATTCAAGAAAGGAAAAAGGTAATTTATTATTTAATTTATGATTAGATTCTATTGGGTTTCATATAAACAGAAAAACACATTAAAAACTTGTGGGGCGCCTAGGTGGCTCAGTGGGTTAAAGCCTCTGCCTTTGGCTCAGGTCATGATGGGGCTCACTGCTCAGCAGGGAGCCTGCTTCCTTCCTCTCTCTCTGCCTGCCTCTCTGCCTACTTGTGATCTCTGTCTGCCAAATAAATAAATAAAATCTTTAAAAAAAAAAAACACATTAAAAACTTGTTAATTAGTTTCCTTTTGAGGTGCTAAAATTCCTGTAAATTTGACTGTGGTGATACTTGCCCTTACCTAGGAATACATTACAATACCAATGAACTGTACATTTTACTTTATTTAAAGATTTTACTTATTTAGAGAGACATACAAGCAGTACAGAAGCTATTCAGTTGTGAATAGCAGAAAACACAAGAGACACACGCAAGAGTAGGAAAGCAAGAAGCAGGCCTCCCACCAAGCAGAGAGCCCGAGGCGGGGCTCAATCCCAGGACCCTAGGATCATGACCCGATCTGTAGGCAGATGCTTAACTACTGAGACACTCAGGCGCCCCTGAACTATACATTTTAAATGAGTGAAATGTGATATGTGAATCATACCAGAGTAAATCTGTATTTTTAAAAGGTAAATTAAGATCTGTAAGAGGGGGAAATCTATCTTGTATTACAATACCAAAACAAAGTTTCCCTTATTCTTTGATTCTTCTTTTGTGGGAAGGCAAACACTTAAGAAAAGAATTTCTGGGAGTAGCAGAATATGGCTAACCCTTACCAGAGTGGCTACTTTATAACCTCTTCTACAGTCAGAGTGTTAACAGAAGAAAACATACAGTGTAGTTTTCCAGGCTTTGTTGTTTTCTACCAAATATGATTTAAATCATTCTCAGGTTTTACTTCCCAGTATAAGGTCAATCGTGGAGAAGCAGATAACTCAGATAACCAACAGAAGACAATACTAGTTAAAAGCATTCCTCTCAGGTAAAGCAGGTTGTAGAAATGTTTTTCACATCTGATACGTTGCTAAACTATAACCATAATACGAAGCATAAAAAAGACGCTTTTGAAATTATTTTAGATGACTATTATCAGTTTACATTTTTTTCTGAAACATAATTTCTATTACTTATAAAGTCAAAATATTATTTACTGATCTCAATAGTAGTCAACCATTCCCATTTTGTGACAGACATCCCCATACTAACCTGCATGCCTTCAGAACTTCTGAGGAACTTGAATATATGGACACAGATATTGATGGTATAATATGAGGACCAGGCTTTTGGCTAATTATAGGCAGGTCCGTTTTTACAGAGCTCTGTGAGTTCTCTAGACCTTCTCCATTAAATGTATGTAACCTACTGTGAGGACTATTAAGGCTGGGAACACTGTGTACAGCTGTATGTTCGCTGGATTTTGGAGAAGGTGTTGCAGTAGAAATGACTGAAGAGGGTGAAGAGGCAACAGAATTATTAGTCTTTGTACAAACAGTGGGGTGAAAATTACTGACTTTGTCACAAGCTCCACTACCCCCACTGTCATTGGCTTTTCCAACCAACAAGGCAGAGACCTGAGGATTGTCTGAAATTTGTACATTTGGTGATGTGGAATCTCCATGGTTAGGACTACAAACAGGTTCTGCTATCAACTGCTGAACATGATTAGAAAGTCCTTTGACACCAGCACAGCCATTAGGTTTGTCTCCAACATGCCTGCTTGTTTCAGGCACCAAGGATCGATTTCCTGAAGGTTTGCCCTCTTTGGTAAAGGTAATGCCTTGTTGTCCACCTGAGGTAGGAATAGGAGAGGAGAGGTGATTGAAAGCAGCTCCCTGTGTTACTGAATTGTTAGGCAGAGTTCGAAGTCCAGTCTGTTTCTGAATAGCAGTGCTAGCTGCCTGGAGATACTGGGCAGGCCCAGTAGAAAAGGGAGGTTGTTCGTCACTGGGTCCTGCCAAATGTGAACTCTGATCTTTGTGAAGCCCCTTGGGGGGGAAAAAAAGAAAGAAAGAAATTACCAAGATTTGTTTAAATCTATTATTATGCAAACTCAGAATACATACACAGAACAGTACTGAGGATCAAAAATGTTTAATAAGCCACAAAAATAAGCAATTAAATGTGCAGTATAATAATCTAAAACCTAAAACTTATTTTTAGAAGGTCCCATAATCCACTGATTAAGATGGTCAGAATCTTTAGCAAAAATTATATAACTGGGCTGCATAATTTGTATTAGTGTGCCAAGATATTTCTTCATATAAGGGCTTTAAGAATTTTTTTTTTAAGATTTTATTTATTTATTTGACAGACAGGGATCACAAGTAGGCAGAGAGGCAGGCAGAGAGAGAGAGAGGAGGAAGCAGGCTCCCTGCTGAGCAGAGAGCCCGATACGGGGCTCGATCCCAGGACCCTGGGATCATGACCTGAGTCAAAGGCAGAGGCCTAACCCACTGAGCCACCCAGGCGCCCCTGGGCTTTAAGAATTTTTAATGCTCACTTCTGTTATATAGATTTTCACCTTTATGGAAATGTTATCTGTAAATTTAGATATGGTAAAAAATACATATGGTCATTACCAAGTGAAGCCATTACACAAACTAAATAGCACAAATCACTTATCTAAAAAGTATTATAGGGGCGCCTGGGTGTCTCAGTGGGTTAAAGCCTCTGCCTTCAGTTCCGGTCATGATCCCGGGGTCCTGGGATCAAACCTCGCATTAAGCTCTCTGCTCAGCAGGGAGCCTGCTTCCCTTCCCCTCTCTCTCTGTCTGCCTCTCTGCCTACTTGTGATCTTTGTCAAATAAATAAATAAAATCTTAAAAATAAATAAATAAATAAAAATTTTAAAAGTATTATAAATTTAGTACAGAAAGTGTACTTACTAAATCTTTGAAATTACCAGTTACTCTATAATATAAATCTGGTACGTATCTTTCATCCAAAAAGCAAAAACTATTAAATCTATGAACATATTTCAAGGAATAACTTACATGGATTTCTATATTCTCAACCTCACCCCTCATAACCCACAGACATATTTATGTGTAGTTCCTCACTTATTACTCAAGAATTGATGGCACTTTTTCCTAAATTCACAAGATTAGGAGAATATATGGATAATGTTAGAGCATTTTACGGGATAGTTTTTTAAAATCATTAAGTTCTGAACCAACAGGAAAGTTATCCATGGAATTAAAATATACAATGAATTAATTTTTTTTTAAAGATTTTATTTATTTATTTGACACAGAGAGAGAGAGAGAGAGAGATCACAAGGAGGCAGAGAGGCAGGCAGAGGGAGAGGGAGAAGCAGGCTCCCCGCTGAGCAGAGAGCCCGATGCGGGGCTCGATCCCAGGACCCTGAGATCATGACCTGAGCCGAAGGCAGAGGCCTAACCCCCTGAGCCACCCAGGCGCCCCACAATGAATTAATTTTAAGTGAAATTTGTCTTTGGCATAGTTAACTGCTCTAAAAAGATTCTCATTTTGTTTTATAATACAGTAATTAAGGAATACTGATTAAGGTAATATGGAGTAAGAAAACAATAGTTTAATATTTCCCAAGCTACTCTAATAACAGAACATGAAAACAACTCCTCTTGAGTTAGAAATATAACTATACATTAACATATTTTAATATAAAACTTTATATGGAGTTAAATCTTAAAACGCTGGAGATCATATACATTAACATATTTTAATATAAAACTTTATATGTAGTTAAATCTTAAAACGCTAGAGATTATCTTAGAATTGGTAATTCTAAGTTGGTAATTAATTTAGCAACAAGGCAAAAGCCCTTCTGCTTTCATATGAAACAGAATTAAGTTATATACACAGTAAAGTCAGTCTTAGGTAGCCAATTAAAATCTGCCAGCATGCTGTTGATACTGTTTTACCACCTAAGATACCCTAGGCTAATAATATATTTTAAATCAAGAATATCACTTATATTTTATCTACTTTAATGCTGGAAACATTAAAAATGATGGAGGTTAAGAGTACAAAGGATACTTTAGTGAGGAATAATTAAGTAAAAGAATAATCATGGAGTAATTAGGATAAAATCTTTAAAATCCTTGTATAAAATCAATTTTCATAAAAGTAACAAATATTGTCATCTAATCAATACTATTCAAAAGTGGGTAGGCAATTAAAAAACGCATTCACCATCATCAAACTGACATATAGATTTTTAAAAGCAGTAACTGTATTACTTCTATAGCTATAGATCAGAGTACTTCGAATTTATTCTCTTAACAGGACTCCATGGTACACTGAAAGTAAAGAAGGACTTGAGAACAGTCTGAAATTTTCAATGTATTCCTCAACCCACACTGAATAGACAGAAAACAGAAGCCTGATGGACTATGGTCACAATGCTGGTCATAATAAATTAGTTTTAGACCCCAGTAAATTTAATAAGCAATCAGAATTAGACCCCAACCTATTAAGCACAAAGGGAAATATTTCAGGAGACCAGACTAAAAGTTAAAACCAGAGATAAAAACAAGATGGTGGCTGTGAACAAACAAATTCAGAGGTTCCTTTTACCTTTTTACTAAGGTAAAAAACATACATTGAGGGGGAAAAAAAAAAATTAAACACAGAGTTATAATATGGAGTTTAAGTGAATACCTAATAGAAAAAATGCCTAAACTTAAAGGAATAGGCCACCAAAAACTGTACTGAAAGAAAAAAAGGCAGAATCTTTCTGTATTAATAAAAAAAAATCTTGTTTCTAACTCAGTTAAGTATAGAAACCCTAACTAAAACAAACAAAAAAACTGCACCTGAGACATCATAATAAAATATTTGCCAAAATCTACAAAAAGAAAATCCAGAAGCAGCAAAGAAAATGCTCACCACAATAAAATATAAGAGTTATAAGAGAAACAAAAGACTTGTTATACCAGACAACAGTGGGATGAAAGGTTCCAAGTACTCATAAGAAAATAAATGCCATGCATATTCAATGGGGGAAAACCAGTCTCAGTCGCTTCAGCAAATGGTGTTGGGAAAACTGAATGGCTACCTGCAAAAAAATTAAACTGGACCACTTTTTTATACTATACACAAAAATAAACCCAATAGAGATTAAAAACCTAAATGCAACACCTGAAACCACAGAATTTGTAGAACAAAAACAAACATTAATTCATAGATGTCAGCCACAGAAGTATTTTTCTAGATATGAATCCTGAGACAAGGGAGAAAACATCGAAAAGGAACTACTGGAACTTTATTAAGATAAAAGCTTTTACACAGCGAAGGAAACAGTCAACAAAAGAAACAGACGATCTATGGGATGGGAGAAGGTAACCTGCAAATGATATACCGGATAAGTGGTTAGCATCCTCAACTAATAAATAACTCGATACCCAAAACCAGATAGTCTGACTTAAAAAATGGATAGGGGACCCAAATAGACAGTTTTTCAAAGACGACATACAGATGAACAATAGGCACATGGAAAGATGCTCAACATCACTCAACAGGAAACACAAGTTAAAGCCATAATAAGACACCATCTCACACCTGTCAAAATGACTAGAATCAAAAGACACAAAATAACTAAATGTTAGTAAAGGCGTAGAGAAAAAGGAATTCTCATGGACTGTTGGTAGAAATGTAAATTGGAGCAAATGCTGAGTAAAGACTATTAAAATAGAGTATTAAGAATAAAAAAATAAAAGAGTATTATAAAACAGAAACATCATATTACTCAACAATTCCACTACTAAATGTTAACCCACAGGAGGAAAAAAAAAAAAAAACCCACTAATTTGAAAAAATAAATGCTACCCTCTGTTTACTGCAGCATTATTTATACAACAGCTAAATTATGGAAAGAATAAGAGTATATGAATAGATGAATGGATAAAAACCATGTAGTATAAAAATACACAATGGAATACTATTAATGATAAGAAAGATGAAATGCTGTCTTTGTGACAGCATGGATGGACCTAGAGGATATTTTATTAAATGAAATAAGTAACAGAAAGACAAATATTTTATGATTTCACTTACAGGTGGAATATAAAAAGCAAATTACATGAATAAACAAACAGAAAAATACATGAATAAATAAACAAACAGAAACAGATTCAAATGCAGTAATAAAGTTGGTGGTTGCCAGAGAGGAGGGCTGTATGTGGATAGGCAATTTAAGTGGATTAAGTAGTACAAACCTCTAGTTATAAAATACATTACAGGATGTAAAGGACAGGATAAGAAATATAGTAAAGAATATTGTGTAACTATGCATGGTGACAGAAAGGAATTAGAGTTATTATGGTGAGCACTGCCTAATCTATGAATTGTGGAAGCACTATGTGTACACCTGTAAGTAATATAACATTGTATGTGAACTATACTTAATTCTTAAACTTGCCAAAACTTAAACTTGTCATAACAGAAAATACTACCAGAGCTAGATGAATTTACTGGTTGAGTTTCTCCCAATATTTAAGGAAGAAATTATCCTAAAGCTCTACTGTTTGCCCCAGAAAATAGAAGCAGAGAGAACATTTTATAACCATACTTAATGAGGCTAAGATAATGATTATCTTAATATCAATACTAAACATTTTAAGACATCACCAAAGATGTTATAAAAAGACAGTAACAAAAAAAAAAGGGGGGGGGGAGATTTTTTAAAAAAAAAGCTGCAAAAATCCTCTACAAAATATCAGCAACTAGAATCTAACTATGTATAAAAAGAATTATATACCATGGCCAAGCGGTATTTATCCCAGGTATGTGGGTTGATTCAACATTAGGAAACCGCTCATTGTAATCCATCACATTAAAACACTGAAAAAGCAAAACCATATGATTGTACGATCTATACAGAAAAAGAAAAGCAAACACAAGCATGGTAAAATTACTCCTGTAAACCTGGAATACAGAGCAACTTCCTCCTCTGGTAAGAATATCTATAAAAAGACTACATCTGGGGGCGCCTGGGTGGCTCAGTGGGTTAAGCCTCTGCCTTCGGCTCAGGTCATGATCTCAGGGTCCTGGGATCGAGCCCCACATCGGGCTCTCTGCTCAGCAAGGAGCCTGCTTCCCTTCCTCTCTCTCTCTGCCTGCCTCTCTGCCTACTTGTGATCTCTGTCTGTCAAATAAATAAATAAAAATCTTTAAAAAAAAAAAAAAAAAAAAAAGACTACATCTGCATTATACGAAGGGTGAGGAACGCAAAGCATTCCCCAAGATCAGGAACAAAGCATGGATTTCCTATTCACAACTCTTTCAGAACCATGCTAAAAACTCTAATGCAATAAAGCAAGGATATAAAAGGGAAATAAATTAAAAATAAAGAAAGAAGGGGCACTTAGATGGCTCATTTGGTTAAGGGTCTGCCATCAGGTCAGGTCATGATCCCAGAGTCCTGAGATCCTGCTCAGCGAAGAGCCTGGTTCTCTCTCTCCCTCTGCCTCTTCCCACAACTCGTGTGTTCACTCTGCTCTCTCTCTCCCAAATAAATAATCTTAAAAAGGAAGAAAGTGAGGAAGGGAGGAAGAAAGGGAGGAGACACTCCTTGAAGGTTACATAACTGCCCAAATAGCAAGTTTAAAACTCAACAAAACCTCATGGATTTAATAAACAATATTAAAGATACATGTGTATAATACAGAAGTCACTTGCTTTCCTGTGCCAGCAATGAACAAATGGAATCTCAAATTAAAAATCACTAATAGCATTCACATCAATACTATCCCCAAAATGAAATACTTAGGGATAAATCTAATAAAATATGTGAAAGATCTGTAAGAACAAAACGTGATGAAAAGATCTATAAGAACAAAACATGATGAAAAGTTCTGTAAGAAAAACAAAATGTGATGAAAAACTAAAATTAAGAGATATTCCATATTCACAGTTAGTTCTCCCCACCTTTTTAAGTAATCACTGCACCCAAAGTGTGGCTTGAACTCATACTCCAAGGTCAAGAGCTGGATGTTCTAGGAGTCATTCAGTCAACTGGCTGCTGAGCCAGTCAAGCACCCCTCATAGTTAGATATTTTAAGACGTCAATTCTTATAAATTTCATACACTGATTCAATGCATTCAAATAAAAATCCCAGCACAATTATTCTGAATGCTTACAAAGTCATTCTTAAGTGTTTATGGAAAAATAAAACATCCAAAATAGCCAACACAAAATTCTGCAGGAAAAAAAGAAAGCTAGAGAACTGCACTACCTGATTTTAAGACTTGGTATAAAACTATATTAATCAAAGAACTACACTGTTGACAAACTGATCAAGGGAACAAAACATACAGCCGAGAAACAGACCATAAACATAGTTAACTTTGATAAAGGAGCAAAAGCATTATTATGGAGAGATACATTCTTTTTTAAATGGTGCTGGAACAACTAGTTTTAAATTAAAGTTTTAACTTAACTTAAATTAATTAATTAATTTAATTTAAAATTAAGTTTTAATTTTAATTAAAGAAAATTAACCTTTACATTGGTATTTCACCTTTCATAAAAAATTAACTGAAAGTATCACAGATCTAAATGTAAAATGCAGAAGTATGAAACTGCATGATTAACATAGGGGAAAATCTAGATACATTAGCCATGGTGAAGACTTCTTCAATATTACTTGTAAGGCACAATCATGAAAGAATTGGTACACTAGACTTCCATTAAAACTAAAAACTTCTGGGATGCCTGGGTGGCTCAGTGGGTTGAGCCACTGCCTTCGGCTCAGGTCATGATCCCGGCATCCTGGGATCGAGTCCCGCATCGGGCTCCTTGCTCAGCAGGGAGCCTGCTTCTCCCTCTGCCTCTGCCTGCCACTCTATCTGCTTGTGCTCACTCTCGTGCTCTCTCTCTCTCTCTCTCTGACAAATAAATAAATAAAATCTTTAAAAAAAAAAAAAACTAAAAACTTCTGCTCTCTAAGGGGCACTGTCAAAGAATGAGAAAAGAAGTAGGAATTGGGGAAGAAAACACAATATTCCTATGTGGTGAAGGACTATCAAATATAGAAGGAAGAAAAACATCTAACACCCAACATTAAGAAACTAATACAACTGAAAAATGGACACAGGTCAGACACAGGTCTGAACACATGCCTCAAAAGTTAATATAGATGGAATGAGAAGATGCTCCAAAACACATTAGAGAATTATAAAACTAAAAATGAGATACCACCATATCCCTACTAGAATTACTAAAGCCCAAATTACAAACCCCACTGCCCATGGGATCTTTAGGAAATGATTAGGAAATTCCTTCAAGGAAGAGATTAGTAGTGCCCTTATAAAAGAGACCCCAGAGTCCTGGAATAGAGCCCTCCATTGGGCTCCCTGCTCAGGTGGGGAGTCTGCCTCTGCCTCTGCCTCTCACTCATGTGTACTCCGTCTCTCTCAAATAAATAAAATCTTAAAAAAAAAAAAAAAAAAAAAAAAGATCCTGAAAGTGTCTTCATTCCTTCCGCCATTTGAAGACAGTGAGAAGAATGCTGACTAGAATTAGTAGAGGGCCCTCAACAATTACGAAATCTTCCATTACCCTGATCCTGAATTTTCTAGCCTCAATTAACTGTGAGAAAGAAATTTCTGTTGTTTATAAACTACCCAATGTATAGTACTTTGTTTTAACCTGCCCAAACTAAAAACCTTCATGTTTAAACATGGACCATCAAATTCTGGGAAAAGCAAACAAAAAGTAGACTTAGTCATTACAGATAGAAATGTAAAATTGTCCCAATGTTTTACAAGGTAATTTGTTAGTTTTATACAAAACTAAATATTGTGTTATGACGAGCAATCATACTCTTAGGTTTTCACCCCCATAAGATGAAAACTTATGTTCATCCAAACTGCAGTACATGTTTACAGCAGCTTTATTCAGAATTGCAAAAATGTACAAATTATCAAGTCCTTCAGTAAGTAAATGGATAACTGAACTCTGGTAAATTCAAGTTATGGAATATGATTCAGTAATGAAAAACAAAATGACTATTATGTCAAAGAAAGACATGCAAGAAGCTAAAATGTGGGGTGCCTGGGTGGCTCAGAGGGTTGAGCCTCTGTCCTCAGCTCAGATCATGGGTCCTGGGATGGAGCCCTGCTTCGGGCTCTCTGCTCAGCAGGGAGCCTGTTTCCCCTTCTCTCTCTACCTGTCTCTCTGCCTATTTGTGATCCCTCTGTGTGTTAAAAAAAAAAATCTTTAAAAAAAAAAAAAAAAAAAAAAAGAACCTAAAATACATAATGGCAAGTGAAAAAAGCCATTCAAAAAAGGCCAACATACTGTACTTATGAACTTCTGGAAAAGGCAACAATGTAGAGATAATAAAACTGTTACTAGCACAGGTTCAGGATAGTCAAGGAAGAATAGAAAGAACCCAGGTTATGTTTACAGCAGTCAAACCACTTTGTGTGACACCATAAAGGTGAATATATGTCATTACCACACCATAAAGGTGAATATATGTCATTACCAATTTGTCAGGACCAATGTAATAATAACATAAAGAAAAACAATCAACATAAATTATGGAGTTTAGTTAGTAACAGTGTATTAATAACACATTATCATCTGCAATTATTGTGCTACACTACTACAAGGTATGTAGGATGGGGAACCAAGGGATGGAGTAATTTTGATAACTTTTAGTACATTCTACTCCATTTTCTATGAACTTAGAATTCCTCTACAATGTAGTCTTTTAATTAGTACTATTGTAAAATTTAACACTTAAAATTATCATACAATTATGAGTTATTTAAAAGTAATTTTTATAGATAAGATTATTTATTAAACTTTATTTCTTCTTCTGAAGATATACACAAGCCAAAGAAAAATTATTTAAGAGCAAACAAAGTAGAGAGATAATCTTTTACCTGAGTGGAGTTAGACAGCTGTTTTCTCCATGGCTCTTCTGTGCTGCTGGTCAGGTTTGTGCAGTTATGAGGTAGAGTGAGTATGTTTTGCTGCAGGTAAGGCACATTTCCATTACTTCCACTTCCTGTTACATAATTATTGCCTACCAAAGTAATGTCTGTATTCCCCAGTGATTTTGATGTGCCAAAAGGAGCACAGCCTCCAGTAAATGGTCCACTGGACAAAGGCTTTTCAAAACAAGCAGAGCGTACTTCAGGGTGGGAGACACTAGATTCTCTAGGCAGAGAAGAATGTGGTTGCTGGCTAAAGTTTGTAGGCAGTGATGAGTTAGCTACTGGCCCATTAGGAATTCCAGTAGTCTGTCCTGTCTGTCCCTTTGAAAAGAAAGAAGAAAACCTGCTTGTGTGACTCTGAAAATATGTAATCGATATATCCCTTATTATTATTATGATATTTAATATCTCTAAGTTAAAAAACATACATTTCAAAAATGAAACATGGAGAAACCAAAAATCTTTTTCATTATATAAAGAAAATTCTTTATTCAGTGTTACAATGGCAAAACAAAGCATTTTAAAATAACCAGTTAGTAAACTATAGGCCTTGTTTTATATCATAAAATGGGGGATTTCAAATTTCCATTCTATTACATTTATGACAAATCCTTCATAATAAACATTCCTTACAAACATCTCCACCTCAAGATGGAATACTTTAGTTTTAAAATAATAGTAAGTCCATAGAACAAGTGTGTACTATGTTCTATGTATTTCTGTGTTCTAACACACCTGTCCTATGGACTTATTTACCCTCCCAAAAAAAGATCAAAAGATATACATGGGAGTGTTTTGTTCTAAATTAATTTACGGCTGTGTTTTGTCTTTTCTTTTAAAAGTAGGCTCCATGGGGCACCTGGATGGCTCAGTCATTAAGCGTCTGCCTTTGACTTAGGTCATGATACCAAGATCCTCAGACTAAGCCCTAGAGTGGGCTCTCTGCTTCTCCCTCTTCCGGCTGCTTTCCCTACTTGTGTGCTTTCTTCCCATCAAATAAAAAATAAAATCTTAAAAATAAATAAGTAAGTAAGTAAGTAAAAGCTGGCTCCAAGCACAGCCTGAGGCCCAACGAACTAACCACCCTCAGATCAAGACTTCAGCTGGGATTAAGTCATATGCTGAAAAGACTGAACCACCCAGGCACTCCCAGACATATAAGTTCTACAAAATATGTGTAGAAAATAGAAATGATTAATATATTCTCAAATGATATTGTACTCAGGAAAAATATTTAGCATGGTAATAAACATTACAATAAAAATAATATACATACTTGTTGCATTAAGACAAACTGACTTTCCAATTGTTCCAGCATCAGTTTCTGTGCTGAATTTAAATTATCTCTATTTGCACGCAGCTGTTCCAACTGCTAGAAAAATAAAAGAGAATACAAAGATAAAGTTAAGAAACAGAAGTTTGTCAGGCAACTTGTCACTCTGAGAAATGACGATAAATTTGGAACTTCTGTGTAATCAAATGCTGTGATTTCTAACCTCAAGTAATCAATTCCAAAATGCAGTCTTTCCAGAAATCTAAGAAAGGAAGATTAAAAACAAGTTCATCAGGAACTATTTAAGTAACAAAAATGTGGTATTAAAAAATTGCTTAGGGGCGCCTGGGTAGCTCAGTGGGTTAAGGCCCCTGCCTTCGGCTCAGGTCATGATCCCAGGGTCCTGGGATAGAGCCCTGCATCGGGCTCTCTGCTCAGCAGGGAGCCTGCTTCCTCCTCTCTCTCTCTCTCTCTCTCTCTCTCTGCTTGCCTCTCTGCCTACTTGTGATCTCTGTCAAATAAATAAATAAAATCTTTAAAAAAATAAATAAAAATTAAAAAAAAATAAAAATTTGCTTAGAAGCAGCATTGTTGGTAACAGAAACAATGGAAATCACCTTAAAAATCCAACGACAGGCATCAGGAACTATTTAAGTAACAAAAATGTGGTATTAAAAAAGAGCTTAGAAGCAGCATTGTTAGTAACAGGAACAATGGAAATCACCTAAAAGGTCCAATGATAGGAACCTGGTTAAAGAATGGGTGGCCTCCATGAAGTCCTAAAACATTTTATACCCATAAAAGAACAATAAAGCAATGCATAAACATGAAAAGGTTTTGAAGATACATCTGTAAAAGAAACAAATACCAAGGTTCTAAATGTATATACATTTTACTTGTTTAAAAGAAAACAAAAAAGCAAAGCCTCCGGTCATGATCCTAGGGTCATGGGATCAAGCCTGATGTTAGGGGTTTGGGGTGGGGGGGGTGCAGCTCAGTGGAGAGCTTACTTCCTCCCATCTCTCCTGCTCCTGCTTGCATACACTCTTTAATAAATAAAATCTTTAAAACAAAACAAAAAAGAATCTATAAGATAAGTGTATTTTTTGTACATGTACAACATATCTCTAGGAAAAAAAATGCAAAAGAAGCAATTAACATTAGTTATTTATAGGAAAAGGAAATTAAATGGCTAGACCAAGGAACAAGAATAATCCTTTAACCTGTATACCCTGTATTTTCTAATAACTCTTGCATTTCAAACACATACACGTGTTACTGCTTTAAAAAAAAATAAAAGCATAAGGGCACCTGGGTGGCTCAGTGGGTTAAGCCTCTGCCTTCGGCTCGGGTCATGGTCTCAGGGTCCTGGGATTGAGCCCCGCATCGGGCTCAGGCTCTTTGCTAGGTGGGGAGCCTGCTTCCCCCACCCACCGCCTGCCTCTCTGCCAAATAAATACGTAAAATAAAAAATTAAAATAAAAAAATAAAAGGATAAAATGAATTTCAATTTCAATCTGTTACTCTAAAAGATGTGGGCTCATTACACTTCAATTAATTTGGTTTACTGCCATTCAATTTTAAGAATTAATGACTAAAAAAGATTAAAGGTTATTACCTCTTGCTTTAAAATAGAAGGAAAATATGTCAAAAGAATATTTCAAACCACAGGTATATGGTCAGTTAACCTTTGACAAAGGAGGCAAGATATACACTGGGAAAAAAGTCTCTTCAACAAATGCTGTTGGAAAAACTGGACAGCAACATGCAAAAAGAATGAAACTGGACCACTTTCTAACATCATACACAAAAATAAACTCAAAATAGATTAAAGACCTAAATGTAAGACTGAAACCATAAAAGTCCTAGAAGAGAGCACAGACAGTAACCCTTTTTTTCTTTTTTCAAGATTTTTTTTTCTTTAGACACAAAGAGAGTATGCATATAGCAGGGAGGGGCACTAGAAGAGGGAGAGAGTCTGAAGCAGGTTCTGCACTGAGCACAGACACTGACACAGGGCTTGAGCCCACAACCCTTATATCATAACCTGACCCAAAACAAGGAGTGGGGACACCCAACTGTACCATCTAGGCACCCCCAGACAATAATAATTACTCTTTGATATTGCCCATAGCAACTTCTCAATAGGTATGTCTCATGAGGCAAGGGAAATGAAAGTAAAAATGAACTACAGGGACTTTATCAGGATAAAAATCTCCTGCAGAGTGAAGGAAACAATCACCAAAACTAAAAGGCAATCTACCAAATGGGAGAAAGTATCTGAAAATGACATATCTGCTAAAGGGATAGTAACCAAAATGTTTAAAAAGAACTTCGCAAACTCAACAACCGCAAAACCAAAAAATCCAGTGAAGAAACAGGCAGAAGACATGAACAGGCATTTTTCCAAAGACATCAAGATGGTCAAAAGATGTATGAAAGATGTTCAATATCATTCATGGTCAGAGAAATACAAATTAAAACCACAATGAAAAAAAATCCTCAGCTGTAGGAATGCTAAAATAAAAAGCACAAGAAAACAAGTGTCGGGGAGGATTGCAGATGAAAAGGAACTGCCCTATATCACACTGGTGCAGCCACACTGGAAAACATTACCGAAGTGCATCAAATAGTTAAAAATAAAGCTACCCTATGATTCAGCATACTATTGGGTATTTACCCAAAGAGTATGAAAACAAAACAAAATAAAAAAGAATATGAAAACACTAATTTAAAGGATACATGCATCTCTATTTTTATAGCAGTATTATTTACAATAGCAACAATACAGAAGCAGCTCAATTGTCCATCAACTGATGAATAAAGAAGATATGGTATATATACAATGGAATTTGGCCATTAAAAAAAATCTTGCCATCTGCAACAACGTGCATGGAGCTAGAGACTACTAGGCTAAGTGAAATAAGTCAGTAAGAGAAAGAAATATCATATGATTTCACTCATGTGGAATTTAAAAAAACAAATGAGCCAAGAGAGAAAAATATGAGAGACAATTAAGAAACAGATTTTTAATTATAAAATAATTGATGATTACCCATGAGGGAATGAGTTAAACAGATGCTGGAGATTAAAGTTTGCAGTTATGATTAGCACAGGGTTATTTATGAAACTGCTGAGTCTCTACATTGTACACCTGAAACTACGTATGTTAAAACTACCTGGAATTTTTTTTTTTTTTTTTTTTAAGATTTTGTTTATTGATTTGAGAGAGAGAGAGAGAGAGCAGAGAAGGAGAGTAGGAAGGAGAAGCAGACTCTCTGCTGAGCAAAGAGTCTTACCCGGGGCTCAATCCCAGCCAGGGCCCTGAGATCATGACCTGAGCTGAAGGCGGATGCTTAACAACTGAGCCAGCCCGGTGCCCCAAAACTACCTGGAATTTTTTTTTAAACAACAAAAAAAATTTTACACACACATACACACACAGACACACACACACACACACACACACACACACACACACACACACACACTTCATACCTGTAATTTCTGTGGTGTCAAATACCATGAATGAACTTGCTGTTGTACTGGATTAAGTGAAACAGTTCTATTCCAGTTCTCAGAACTATTCTGAGGAAAGTTTATTTAAAGAAATTAAGGAATATTTAGTTAAATTCATACATTAATAGTTATGACAAGTGAGACATTAACAACTGTAACTGGAACACTTACACATATACAGGACTTATCTATTTAAATTATTTAAAAAATAACTAAAATGTATAATCAATTTGAAAGCTTTCTAATTTGAAACATACGTTCTTCTTTACCTCCACCTAAAAAGCCTCTTATGTAAATCACGTCTCAAACAGCTAACAAGCTGCCCATTAGGTGGGATATAAGTGTGTTAAGTTTAAAAGTAAGAAATGAATAAAATTACTTGTTCAAGTATCTATCACTACCTTCTAAATTTAAATGATGCTTACATAACTGGTATACAAAATGCTGTTTAGGTAACAGGAAAACTGAAAATCTTTCACTCTCTGATGTACACAAGTTGAAAACACATGACAGGCAAAATTTCAAAGACATAGCGCTTCACTTTTGATTGGGATTTTCCATTTCTCTAAGTATACATATATACCTTTGTTGGACTAGATGTTCTTTTCTTCTTGGCAGGACTGGATGGGCCATCTACTTGGCTAGAAGTAATCATATGTACTGGCAAGGATTGCTGTGAAAGTGGTATTTGACTGAGGCCTAGTACAGGTTCAGTGTTTGGGTGATGAGCTTTGTAAGCCTATGGATCATAGAAGTAAGACAAAAAATATGGTTCCATATATTCATAATCCATCCCTTCAAATTAAAAAAATTTATTATAAGCTGCATACTTTTTAAAGTTATGTGGACATCACAGATAGTGATAAAAATTAAACTGAATGAATCATTAATGGAGGAATGTGTACCTTCATTTGAAGAACTTTCATTTTTAATATACCACTGTACAATAGTCCCTTTAAGAAAAAACCCTTTTGAATTTATGAGAATATATAAAAGTTTTGAAATTGGTACCCCAACTTTCTTCCCATTTTAGAGGAAGTTTTATTCTTACTTTATAAAATTTATTTTTTTTAGTCATCTCTGCACCCATGGTGGTGCGGAACTCATGGTCCCAAAGATCAGGAGTCGCATGCTCTTCTGACTGAGCCAGCCAAGTGCCCCAAAGGAAGTTTTATTTTGATATAAAATCCATTGCATATAATTTGGAAGAAGTTTTATTAAAAAAAAAAAAGCCAATCATATACTTAGTAATATAAGTTTGAGCACTACAGATTGGAAAGAACCCTTAAAGCTGGGCACCTACAAAGATAACCCAACTTCTCACCTGCTGTGTTGTGTTCATGGCACCCTGCCTGGAGGTAAGCTCTGCGGGTATTGGTAGGCTCCATGCCTCCTCAATACTAGGAAGTAATTTAGTTTTATTCTGTAGACTACATTGTGGAAGGTTACACAACTGAGCCTAGGAAAAATTATGTAAAAAGCAAATTTAACACAGGCCTACTTGAGTAAGAGCAAGTCCACTAAATCTTCCTCAATGTTACAAGTATTTATTTCTTACAGAAAATAGAGTCTAAATTTGGGGGTTTTATATGTTCCATATAAAAAGGGCAACTAGAATATACTCATGTGAGTCAGAACAAAACCACTTTCTCTTTTTCAGAAATCTCACAGGAAATTTCAATCAAGAGTGGAAAACGATGTGTTCTTTTCTCTAAAATGCTATGACTTAAAGATGTAGATAGAGCACAGAAAAATCATGCAAATTAATGTGTATCAACAAAGTAAATGTGCAAAAGAACACCATAAGCACTACATCTTTTACTTTAAATGAAAAGTGAAATATCACAAAATATTAAAAATTACAAAAAAAGTTACTGACATGAAAACAAAAGAAAGAGACACACTTTCCAGCCACCCTCCTCACGACAGTTATCATATGGGAAAGTCTTTTAAAATAAGCTATCTCAATTTTTTACCTGTAAAAATTTAATTCTTCCTGCAAGTGTAGAGATATTATTACAACTTTTGCTTCTAGTTGCATTTAAGTAGCATTTAATGGCATCCTGAGGTTGGTTGCAGGATTCATAGAGAGTGCCTAGGTCCATCCAGGCTGCTGCATGCCCATGATCCAACTGTACAGCACAAATATAGGCCTGTAAAGCATCCATAGGTTGATTTTGCTGCTGATAAAGCACACTGAAAAGAGAAAGAATAAGCTGTCTGAAACAGAGTATAATAGTAATACACAGTATATTACATATGTTAAAATAAATTTGTGTATCTATGAAAATACTATTAATTCTATATACAGAAAGCTTACCCTATGGAACACCATGTATCTGCACTTGCTTCTGACTTATCAATAGATTGCCTATAAGATATAAAGGCATCCTGAACTTTCCCAATACTTGAATAACACCTAAAACAGAGGAAAAAATTATGTGTATTTGGGTATGGGTATAGACAAACGGGTGGGGGGGGCATGCGCACGTTTGTTTGTATATATACATATACATATACATATACATACACAATATTCCATTAATATTTAAGTTAACTATATTTACTGCCAAAATGATGTATATAGAAACAAAAGAAACCTAAAAGCCTACTATAAATGTACGTGTACATACATGCTTAAATACACAAAAATATGTAATTATAATATATATTGTAATTCGCTATTAAATGAACTTTCGTCTAAGTGTTAACACGTTATATTGAACTCTACTGAAATCATTACCAATTTGTTCAATGCCATAATATTCAAGACTAAAGCACACAGGTCTCTCTATACACAGTTTGTATTCAGGTTTCCTTTAGATGAAGATTAAAGGTATAAATTTAAAAAAAATTGATTAACAGTCTGCGTTTTTCTTTATAAACTTACAGCACTCAGAACAAACATTCCTTAATTCATGAAAATTTCAAATAATACTGAGCAAACTGAATGTGAAAGACAGCATAAACCATCTTAATTATCTAATTTAATAGGTATTTTATTTTACTTATTTTTTTTAAATAAATCAAGTGGGGCTTGACTTGATGACCCTGAGCTAAAATCAGGAGTCAAACACTTAACCGACTGAGCCACCCAGGCACTCCCAATTTAGGTATTTTAAATAACTTATATTTTAACCCTGTTTTTTAAAAAGTAGTTATATTAAAAATATTAAAAGCAAAAGAGAGTATATGGAGACTTTATCAAACAACCAACTAACCAAGAACAAAACAAAATAAAAAACAACAAATAAAACCCCAAGCCATATAACTTTATATAAAATGAATCGAAGAAAAACTGTTCTATATGTTAGCTGTTGGAAAAGAAAAATTTAGACTATAGAAATTACCCAACAAGTAATTTTGTTTTTATTTTTTTAAAAACATTTTATTTATTTATTTGACACAGAGAGAGAGATCACAAGTAGGCAGAGAGGCAGGCAGAGAGAGAGGGGGAAGCAGGCTCCCCATCGCACTGGGAGCCTGAGGTGGGGCTTCATCCCAGAACCCTGAGACCATGACCTGAGCCAAAATCAAGAGCCAGACATCAACTGACTAATCCGCCCAAGCGCCCCAAGAACTTCAAGTTTTTCTTCTAAAAATATTATATTTATTTATTTGGGAGAGAGGGAGAGTGCATGCGTCAGAGAGCACAAGTGATGGAGAGGAAGAAGCCAGCTGCCCATAGAGCCTGGAGTCTGATGGGGTCTCCATCCCAGGACCCTGGGATCATGACCCGAGCCGCAGGCAGAGGCTTAACCCACTGAGCCACCCGGTGCCCCAGTAATTTTGTTTTTAAATTTGTTTTCTTAAGACACAGAAATTATTTAAATGTGTTTCCAAAATGGAACTTTTTGGGTCATATTACTTCTAATGGCTTTGTAGGATACAAAATAGCAAGAAATGTTTTAATACTTTTAACTGTACAGCCAGTGTAGGATGAACACTACTATTACTCATTTAAATTTTAATTCATGTAATCCAAATGGTTGGGAATCAGATTATAGTAGAAATGATAAAAAAGGCATTTCATATAAACAAATGTTAGTCAATCTACAAATGGAAAATTTAAATCCAACTTTGATCAACTTGAGTTTGTCCTAAAAAAGGAAGTGTCATGACAAAAGCACTTTACAGAACATTAATCTTCTAACAACGTATAAACTGAAAAATCAAAGGCTGAAAATAGATTTGCGACAGAAAGCCACAAGGCTGGTACACAGATATGAGCCAGAATTAAAGTAATTCTGAGTACACACACGTGAGCCAGAATTAAAGTGAAAGTAATGAAAATTGTATAAAAAGAATAATACCAAATGACTGTAGACTCCCTGACTTCACCACATACTAAAGGAGATACTGTAAAACTCAGTATAAAAAAGTAAATTATTGGGGCACCTGGATGGCTTACTGGGTTAAAGCCTCTGCTTTCGGCTCAGGTCGTGATCCCCATGTCCTGGGATAGGGCCCCACATCGGGCTCTCTGCTCAGTGGGGAGCCTGCTTCCTCCTCTATCTGCCTGCCTCTCTGCCTACTTGTGATCTCTGTCAAATAAATAAATAAAATCTTAAAAAAAAAAAAAAGTAAATTATTGTGAAAAAGAATAAGGTAAAAAAAGAATAAAGTGGCTAGTCTAAGAAAGAACATGATAAATGAGCTTTTATTTCCTTTTTAAAAGGATTTTTATTGGGGCGCCTGGGTAGTTCAGTTGCTTGAGTAACTGCCTTTAGCTCACGTCATTAACCCAGAGTCCCAGGATCAAGTCTCCCCACTCGTCAGGCTCCCTGCTCAGTGGGAAGTCTGCTTCTCCCTCTGACCCTCCCCCACCCATCAAGCTCTCTCACCCTCTCCCTCTCAAATAAATAAAACATTAAAAAAAAAATTTTTTTTAAATTTATTTGAGAGTGAGAGACAGCCAGATAGGGAGAGAGCACAAGCAGGGTAAAGAGGGAGAACAGACTCCCAGCTGAGTAGGGAGCCTGATTTGGAGGCTGATCCCAGAATCTGAGATCATGATCTGAGCCGAAGGCAGATGCTTAACCAACTGAGTCTCCCAAGTGCCCCAATAAATGAGGTTTTAAAAGATATTTTGGTGTGTACATTTCTAATGTTCAGGAAACAGAAGTGAGGAGAAATAAACATGAAAGATGACTAATTTGTGGGCTGACAGACAGAAGAAACACCAGTAAAGGAAACAGAGAAAGTGATTTTAGAGAGTGCATAAAATCTCTGTTGGACAGAGAATTAAAAAGGGAGTTAGCGGTAACTGGAAACAGGGACAGACATCATAGATGATAGGAATAGCATTAGAAAAGTATATTTTTAAACAAAACAAAATTTCAGATTATCTAACACATTTACCCAAATGCCAAAGAAATAAGAAATAATTTCTGAAACCAGCATTTTCATGCCCCCTTTTTAAAAGTCAAGAGAGAATGTCAATATGCCCAAGACTGAGTCCAATCAAAACAACTGTATCCCTAATACAACTTGTTTAGGTTCCTTTAAGGTTGGCCGACCTGTAATACAAGGAGCACCAACTAAACTTCAGTTACACCTCTGTAGTTCCAGCTCTTTCTGTGACATTTACTACTTTTCTGTGACATCACTTAAGGAAACCAGTTTACTTCTCTGGACTCATTTTCCCTATGTGTAAAATAATCATATTACTATATCACCATCTCACCTTTTTTTGGAGGGGGTGTATTTTTATTTACTTGAGAGAGAGAGACAGACTGAGCGCACAGGCATGGGGAACTGCAGAGGAATAGGGAGAGGTGGGCTCCCCGCTAAACAGGGAATTCCTAAATCCCAGGATCACAACCAGAGCCGGGAAAGGCAGACACATATTCAAAAGACCCACGCAGATGCTCACCATCTCACTTTTACAGACATACACCAAGCAATAAGCAACAATATGCAACACAACCTTGAAGCAGTGGTTAACAAATAAGTCTCTGAAATACTAGTGTCATAGTATTTCTCTATGAATTCTACTGACAATGAGATTCTCATTCAAAGCTTTAATGAATTTCAGAATTTATTTTTGCAAACTTAGTTTCTGTAGCAATAAAGCCAATTAAAATAATACATTAGTTAGACAGTAGATGAGAGCAAAAGAAGCAAAATTATATATTTTATTATATTATGTTTATATTATATTATATTATATTATATTATAGAAATCACAGAAAAAAATAAGATTGAAAATAATTACTGTTTAAAATGATAATCCTGAGCCCGAAAAAAATTAATATCTTCTATTTGAGAAGTCAAGAAAATGTTCTGCACATTCAGATAATTTTATCCAAAAAGTTAAAAATAAAGCACAGGTCCATGTTTTAATATCAGGTGTCTATGGGCAAAGCCCTCTGAGGAATACTGTTCTCAATTAGATAGAGAAGTACATCATTATTTAAATGTTAATTTCAAACATATTTCATTTTAAACTTTATATTTGTAATTAAAGAATAATAACTTCTTATATTAAAAAGCTATGCATAGTGCATATTATGCTACAAATTCTCATTTTGTATCAAATTATTTACACTCCTAAAATCTATAGTAGTAACAGTACTAATCCATAAAACAATTAGAAGTCAAATTTCATAGCTCTCTCTTTTTCTAATAAAAAAGCTTTTTTTTTTTTTTAAGATTTTATTTATTTATTGACAGAGAGAGAGAGAGATCACAAGTAGGCAGAGAGGCAGGTGGAGGCAGAAGCAGGCTCCCTGTTGAGGAGAGAGCCCAATGTGGAGCTCGATCCCAGGACCCTGAGATCATGACCTGACTGAAGGCAGAGGCTTAATACACTGAGCCACCAAGACGACCCATAATAAGCCTCTTTTACACTAAGTCCTAAGACATTCATTATTATGGGGTGCCTGGGTGGCTCAGTCATTAAGCATTTGCCTTCGGCTCAGGTCATGATCCCACAGTCCTGAGAGTGAGTCCCACATCGGGCTCTCTGCTTGGTGGGAAGCCTACTTCTCCCTCTCCCACTCCCCCTGCTTGTGTTCCCTCTCTCACTGTGTCTCTCTCCGCCAAATAAATAAATAAAATATTTTTTAAAAAGACACTCATTATGTAAAGCTAACAATAATAAATTAGTTCCAAATCCAAATGCTATTTTACTTATTTATTATATACCCATTTTGTTCATTATACAATGCAAGACAATGGAGAGAGAAAAGATTCAGCTTCTTTCTGAGAACTTTAAGTGGACGAGAGAGACTAAGTTTGGACTTACAAGTTTTATATTACAAACAACTCAAATTAGACTCTTCTATAAGTCCTGGGGAAACTAGAAAAAAGTACAATAAAAGTAGTTAACTTAGCAGTTGTTATTAAACATTATTAATAGATAATAAAAATTTTTTTAAAGAAAAAAAAAAAACCCTATCAATAATCTACCTTATTTATTTTTACCAAACAAAAAAAACTACACATTACAGAAAAACTAAAGTTAACATAAAAACTAAATCTAGGGCGCCTGGGTGGATCAGTGGGTTAAGCCTCTGCCTTCAGCTCAAGTCCCATATCAGGGTTAAGCCTCTGCCTTCAGATCAAGTCCCATATCAGGCTCTCTGCTTGGCAGGGAGCCTGCTTCCTCCTCTCTCTCTGCCTGCCTCTCTGCCTACTTGTGATCTCTGTCTGTCAAATAAATAAATAAAATCTTTAAAACAAACAAAAACTAAATCTGAATTAGACTTCATGACGAAGTTTCTCAAAATAAAGTATTCCTTGTAAAAAAAGAATCAGATGAGGGGCACCTAGATGGTTCTGTTGGTTAGGCATCTGCCTTCACCTAAGGTCATGATTTTGGAGTCCTGGGATCTAGCCCTACATCAGGTTCCCTGCTTATTGGCAAGCTGGCTCCTTCCTTTCCCTCTGACCCTCCCCACCACTCGTGCACTCTCTCAAATAAGTAAAATCTATTTTAAAAAAAGATTAAAAAAAACAAATTTTTTAAAAATCTTTTTTTAAAAAAGATTTTATTTATTTATTTGACAGAGAGAAAGCACAAGCAGGAGGAGTGGCAGGAGGAGGGAGAACAAGAAGAGGGAGAAGTAGGCTCCTCAGCAGGGAGCCCAATGTGGGGCTTGATCCCAGAACCCTGGGAAAATGACCTGAGTCAGACAGATGCTAAACCAACTGAGCCACTCAGGCACCCAGTAAATAAAATCTTAAAAAAAAAAAAAATAATAATAATAATAATAATAATAATAAAAAAGAAAGAGAAAAAGAATCAGGTGAAATTTACAATTAAATCAAAGTAAGACAATTAAGTATGTAACTCTGAGAAAATCAACCTGACAGATCTAGTATTTTCATTTATGTGAAATGAAAATTAACATCTCAAACTATTCAAATGAACTTTACCATAGGTTATCAGGGAGAATAAAAATGAATCATCAAATAAATACATTAAAAATGATAGAAATAACAGAAGGGACAAAATTATATACTGAATTGAAAAACAGTATTAGTGATTAGTATCTGATGTCTCTTGAAAACTGTTTAATACTTCAAAAACTAACCGTAATGCAAGGACCATGAAGACAAGGTAAAAATAAAAACTGATAAGCAAAATAAGAATTTCTCACTAAAAGTACCAAATTTAGAGTGATCCAGTTTTACCAATCAAGAATCTGCTATCATGTATTTATAAAAAAGAGTAGATATTATATAAACTAACATTTTAGATTATAAATTAACTCTATGCAGGACAATTCAAATGTCTAATCTCACCTCCCAAGAAAATACCAAGACTGGCCAGAATTAGGATCTGCCTCCAAAGACTTCTGGAGATACTGAATCGCATAGCTTTCCTTGGTGGCCTTGTCTCCCAGTAGATCCACATTATGATGCATCCATCCTATAATTAAAAAATAATAAGCATTTACCTATGATCCAACTATTTTTCCACTGTTAAGAATATCATGAAAAACACTAATAAAATCCTTTCTGTACATTTTATTCATCTGGTTTCAAATTTCCCCCAAATTTAAAACTACCAAAGATAGCTATAGGGAAGTCTACCTCACTCAAAAAGGTAGAGTCAATGCCACTCAGGGCTCTTAAAGAGCTGAGAGAAATTTAATTTATTTAGGGCAATGCACTAACACTAAATTAGTAGCCCTGGATTTTCCTTTTCCAAATTTAATTTTTTAAAAAATCGCATCCTATACACCAAAAATATAAAGATGATTAATTTACTTTTCCTTTGAATATTAAAACAAGTAGCAAGCCAATACTGATTTCTAAGGAATAAATATATAAAAGCTTACATAATCAAAAAAGATACATCAGCTAAGTAATTTTTAAAAACCTTAGAGAGTAAGGCTCTTTATCTTATTGATACTGGGTATTTTCATCAACATTCTAAACACAGTATTTAGCCAAGAACAAAAATAATAAACAAAAACTCTCCAAGGCTTATGGAAAACTAATGAAAAATGGGTTTAAAGGGCAGTAAAGCAGTACAGAGTGCCTGCTTAATAAACAGGTTCAGAATAGAGCTACCCTATGACCCAGCGATTGCACTACTGGGTATATATCCTAAAGATACAAACGTGGTGCTCCAAAGGGGCACGTGCACCCGAATGTTTATAGCAGCAATGTCCACAATAGCCAAACTATGGAAAGAACCTAGATGTCCATCAACAGATGAATGGATAAAGAAGATGTGGTATATATACACAATGGAATACTATGCAGCCATCAAAAGAAATGAAATCTTGCCATTTGCGACGACGTGGATGGAACTAAAGAGTATTATGCTTAGTCAATCAGAGAAAGACAACTATCATATTATCTCCCTGATATGAGGAAGTGGAGATGCAATGTGGGGGGGTTAGGGGGTAGGAAAAGAAAAAATGAAAGAAGATGGGATTGGGAGGGAGACAGACCATAAAAGACTCAATCTCAAAAAACAGACTGAGGGTTGCTGGGGGGAGGGGGGACGGGAGAGGGTGGTGGGGATATGGACATTGGGGAGGGTATGTGCTATGATGAGTGCTGTGAAATGTGTAAACCTGGCGATTCACAGACCTGTACCCCTGGGGATAAAAATACGTTATATCTTTATTTTAAAAAATAATTAATTAAAAAAAATATACAGGTTCAGAATTACAGAAACAGAAACAGAGAGATAATGGAAAAACCAGAACATGACAAAATATGTTAAATTTACATTTAAGGCAAAAGAAACCAGTGTTTCAGTTTTGAGTCTAAAGAAGTGTATAAAATTACCTTTACAAAAATACCACACTAAGGGAAAACTACGCTTAATTACTTTGACACAGATAGAATAATCAAATGACATTATGAAGACACCCATAATATCAACAAACTTCATTAAAATTTAGAATTATTTGTTCAAAACCAAATAGAAACAGTGAAAACAAATACAAACTCCAACCAAAATATAAAATAGACATAATGAGTAACTAATAATATGAATTACTAAGGAATATTCATTATTATCTTCTAAGAAATAACAATGTTAACTTTACATTAAACATTAGATTTTCTTATGAAAAACATAGTATTTTAAGAAATGCTGTGTAACATACAGAGTGAAATATTCTATAATTTTTAGATGCCATAGTTCCACTAATTCATATTGCGAATAAGTCTATGAAAAGAAGCACAACAGCCACTCAGAAGCTGTGTGAAAGATGTCAATTTATTAACTTCATAACGCAGTATGCACATGAAAGTACTCAAACTTACTCCAGAGATCAAGTACAAGAGGTTAATACTGAGAGTTTAAAAAGACTAGTTGCACTGAAACACTGAAGTTAGATAGGTTTTTGAGATGGACTGTGTTAGATAGTGGGTATAAATCAATTCTGGACAGAAGAGGAAAGGGAATAATAGTTATAGAAGAACACTTACAATATAAAGTATTTTAAATAAAATCTCAAATTAACACACGTTATCATTAACTTAATGCATAATTTCAAATAAAAAGGGACTGTTAATCAGAAGAGTTCCAACTGCACCCACCAACCACCCAAACATCTGTAATTAAAGGAATCTATAGTAGAAAATAAATCTTTATATACCTAACTGTTGTAAAACAATTGCTTTTACTTGTACAGGTAGGTTTTCTGTCTGTAACAGTTGTTCATAGGCTTCTTTTGCAGAATGATATTTCCTCTAAAATAGAAAAGAAGTCAAAGAAAAATAAAAGAATAAATCTTTAAATAAAAATAAAGATTTTAATAAGGAATTGATTACATGATTTAATTAACTTTTCGAGAAATGAAATAGTAAGAACACTAAAATGTATACTATAAAGAATCTGTACTATATGAATTTAGATAATATAAAGTTTCTGTAATAAAAAAATAACTGAATGTACAAAGTGAATTATTAATGGAATATTTCTTCAACCCTGGACAGCTATGATGCATAACAACTAAGAGCTGATAAAATTAACCTTCAATATAACAGCGGGTCAACAAAATACAACGTTTAAAAAATCTGCTATATCCCAAAAGTTACAAATAGAGTTAACTTCAACCTTATACATTATATAATAACATTCACAAAGCTGTATAAGTTTTCTTTTTTGTTTGTTTGTTTGTACAAGTATTCTATTAAATGTATAACTAACTGGGAAGACTTTCAAAGATTCAAAGTATAAAGCAAATACACTTAAGTAGTACTGTGTTTTACAAAACCTAACACAAGAGGAATGTAGATAACATTTTAACTTTATACACCTCTCTTGTTGAAAATATTCTTGAAAAACACATACACAGGGTTAAAGACCTAACCCTTGTTCCACAGTTATGATACAAATAATGCTCATGATATTTAAGGTACAGGCAAATTTCTAAGTGAGTCCACTGCCCACAGTTCTCCCCAAAAAGTACTAATAAGACTAAACTCTATTACTATTAGCGTGTTCGTGTTTAATACAACTCCACAACAGGAAAAACTAACAGAAATTTACAAAACATCATCATTTTAAAACTTTAAATTCAATTAATTAACATATTAATGTATTATTAGTATCAGAGGCAGAGTTTAGAGATTCATCAGTTAAAGCATTATCTTTTTAATGTACTTGGAAAAACAATCAGTCATTTTGTAAGCATAATAACAAAAGGATAAAAATGTAATTTCAAGCATATTTGTATTAAATGAGCAGAGCAACATGACTAATTCAAATAAATGTATACATTGAAGCTAATAATTCTGAGTTTCTTCCCTAACCAAATGTGACCAAAAACTCCCTAACCAAATGTGACCAAAAACAATAATCTTAGGAGAAAAAAATTCAGTTTTTATTTCTATCAGATGTGCATTTACAGATATACAAACAGACACCAACTCTACATCCACAAAGATGCCTGTACATACAATGGTAAAGACTTCCCCACACAAAACCCAAGTCAAATTTATCAGTTACAGGATATAAAATTAATAACCAAGTATCAGTTGCATACTACCCACTAGGTAAAGAATGATCCAAAAATGAAATTCAGAAAACAATTCTACTTAAAAATTTTTAGGGGCACCTGGGTGGCTCAGTAATGGTTAACGCCTCCGCCTTCGGCTCAGGTCATGATCTGAGAGTCCTCAGCAGGGAGCCTGCTTCCCCCTCTTTCTCTGCCTGCCTCTCTGCCTACCTAATAAATAAATAAAATCTTCAAAAAAAATTTTAGAAAAATTTACTGAGAATATAAAAGACTTGTATAGAACACCAAATTTTCTTTCTCCATTCATTTGTGAAAGAACATTGTATTTAGCAGTCAATAATTGTTCCCCATCCTGGCTATTATGAATAGTGCTACAGTGAACACAGGATTGCAAATATCTCTTTGAAATCCTGACTGCAAATCTTTTGGATAAATACTCAGAAGTGAGATTATTGTATCCTGCGGTAGCTTTTTTGAAGAAATCTTATATACTGGTTTCTATAGTATCTGCCCCATTTTTGCCATCCCAACAGCATACCACATTCCAATTATTCTCCATCCTAGCCAACATTTCCTTTTAGTTTTTTATTATAGATGTCCACATAGATTTGAATGATACCTCACTATGGTTTTTATTTAAATTTCCCTGATTAATGACAGTAAGCATTGTTTCATTACAGGCTGGCCATCTATATGTCTTCAACAGAGAAATTTCTATGCAAACACTTAACCCATTTTAAAACCCACTTACTAGATTTCTTCTGCTGTTGAGTTACATTTATTCTTTATATATTTGCAAGATTAATCCCTTATTGTATTAAATGGCTTGCAAATATTTTCTCCTATTCTGTTACCTATCTTATCACTCTGTGGATTGTTTCCTTTACTGTGTAAAAGGGTTTTTTAAAAAAGATTTATTTATTTGAGAGAAAAAGAATGCACATGCATGCACAAGCAGGGGGATGGCAGAGGGAAAAGAATCTCAAACACAAGCAGGGGGATATGCAGAGGCAAAGAATCTCAAGCAGACCACCCTCCCCACCCAGAGGGCAAAGCCCAAAGCTGGCTCAGAAAAAAATGTGAAGATTCAACACCTGACAAAATTTAAAACCGTTTCACAAAATTCAGTTATCTTTCCATGAGAAAAACTTTGTCTCATTATATTAGGTATGTTTCTCATGGAATTAGGTATAGAGGGGATGAGTGATATTTACAAAGGGCCAAAATGCTTTTCACAGCTTCATTCATAATTGCCACAATTTGATATCCTTCATAGGGTCAATGTATTAATAACTTTAGTCCATCTAAACAATAAAATATTATTCAGAGCTAAACAGAACTGAGCTATCAAGCCATGAAGAAATAAAGGAAACTTAAATGCACATTAAATGAAAAAAGCCAATCTGAAAAGGGTAAATATACTATGCTTCCAAATCTGACATTCTGGAAAAGGCAAAAACTGTAAAATACTCTAGTTATATCACTAAAAGGATTAAAAAGAAAGGCATGCCGACCATAAGTGGCCTAATAATATTAAGATGTTTAAAGGCATTTCAGTATTACACAAAAACACAGGAAACTATTCTAAAATAATGTCTTATTATAAACATCCACAAACAAAGTTAACAAGTCAGGAAACGACAGATGTTGGCAAGGATGTGGAGAAACAGGAACTCTCTTATATTGCTGGTGGGAGCACAAGCTGGCACAACTATTCTGGAACAATATGGAGGCTCCTCAGAACATTGAACACAGAGCTACCCTACGACGCAGCAACTGCACTAGTAGGTACTTACCCTAAAGATATAAATCTTTACAAAAAGATACTTTACAAAAAAGATTTTTTGTAAAGATTTGTTATATTTAGGGTAAATACCTACTGGTGGTGAATACCTACTGCACCCCAATGTTTATAGCAACAATGTCCACAATAGCCAAACCATGGAAAGGGCCCAAATGTCCATACACAGAAGAATGGATAAAGATATGGCATATATACAGCAGTATTACTCAACCATCCAACAAACAAAGCAAAACAAAAACCACAAAATCTTGTCATTTGCAACATCCTGTATGGAACTAGAAGGTATTATGCTAAGGGAAATAACTCAATCAGTGAAAGACAATTATCATTATGATTTCACTAATATGTGGAATTTAAGAAACAAAACAGAATTAGCATAGGGGAAAGGAGAGAAAAATAAAACAAGACAAAATCAGAGAGGGAGACAAACCATAAGAAACACTGAATCATAGGAAACAAATTGAGTGTTGCTGGAGGGAGTCTGGGGGCTGAGATAAATAGGTGATGGACACTAAGGAGGGCATGTGATGTAATGAGCATTCATGTCCCACAGGACTGATGAATCACCAAACTATACCTCTGATACTAATAATACTCTATATGTAAATTAATTGATTTTAAATAAAAAATAAACCTCCACAAACATTTTGTAAAATAAATTAGACATTAATATCAAATGGTAGAAAACTGAAGTAGTCATTTCACAGCACGCAAATGATTTAAGTTTAGAGACAAGCCATATTAAAGGACAGTTTCTAGTATTCAGCAAGCAGAGTGTCTGGAGAATTTATTAAATTACAGTGAGTTGAAGGTAGTACAAACACGATACACATATTGAAAACAAACCTCAAATACCTTCATATCTTTTTCACTAAGCAATACTGCAAATACATGTAGTAAGTATAAATATATACATATGATTATATTAAATATATGCAGGAGTATATGCTGAGAAATTATTCAAATGGATTATTTCAATTAAAGCATGAAATTGCCTTATAAAATTCATTTCGCTTAGAGCGTGAAGAGGATTTTGTTCTAAGATTTTGTTCTTGTTTAGTTAAAACACTTACCTGGGTTTCATACAAGTGGGCAATATGAAACTGAACTGCAATATGAAATCATGGAAAAGAATTAATTACCGGAGAGTTGACATAATGTAATAAAAATAAAGAAAATGTAAAATATAAGGAAATGCTAAAACTAAAGATTATAAATTTTATTTAGGAGTGTGTCTTTTGTGTTTACTTAAGTAACATGAAAATAAATCTGCTAAAGACCAAAAGCATATAAAGAAAACATTACTGGAAGTCATTATTAAATTACAATGTAATTTTAATTACTTAATGTTAACTCTAGAAAACTTTAACATATTTGGAGCATTAAAAATCAACCATAAATATTATATGAAGCTCAAATCAGCAATAATAACTAAATATATCTTTTAAATGTATATATCATAACACAACATTCGCAAACTTTCACCTTACAAATAAAGTTACTATTTAATAGACGTTTTCTAAATATATAAAAATTGTGCCTTTCAGTAAATCCTAAAAAAGTACTTCCTTATAAGTAATAGATCAGTGTAATACAAATAACACATGGGGAAATGAGTACTTTTCAGGTTTTAGCATTAGGCAGCTTTAATTTAAAAAAGAAAAAAAAGTCAAACCACCTAAAAAGCAAGATTATGAAGTAAATACATGTGAAAAATCAAATAAAGTAGAACATTTTTACTTCCCTTTTTTGGAAGCTCTTACTATTGCCCAATTCCCAATCACTGGAGGATTACTGATTCAGTGAAGACCATAATAGTCAATAAAGTAAGATCACAAAATTTAACTAAAATTTAGCTTTGTGCATTTTATGGTTTTCGTTTATTAATGAAAAAAACATTATTTTCTGGGGCGCCTGGGTGGCTCAGTGGGTTAAGGCCTCTGCCTTCGGCTCAGGTCATGGTCCTGGGGTCCTGGGATCGAGCCCCGAGTATGGCTCTCTGCTCAGCGGGGAGCCTGCTTCCCTTCCTCTCTTTCTCTGCCTGCCTCTCTGCCTACTTGTGATCTCTGCCTGTCAAATAAATAAATAAATAAATCTTTAAAAAAAAAAAACAACAACATTATTTTCTTCTTGCTTTGTCAGTTAGATTCTAAGTAGGAGAACCTGTCAAAATTATATAGAGATTATTTATGTAGGTGCATTTGTTTTTTTTTAAGGACAGTCTCACAGTGGTGATGAAATCTGCTGGAAGAAAAGTACCAAGATGTGTCTCTCTCCTTTTCTTCTTACTCAAACTTTCTCTCTCACTGAATACCACAAAGATAAAATTCATTCTAGGAAGCGTGAAAAAATTCAAATTCTTAAGATTAGCCTTTACATGGGGCGCCTGGGTGGCTCAGTGGGTTAGGCCGCTGCCTTCGGCTCAGGTCATGATCTCAGGGTCCTGGGATCGAATCCCGAGTCGGGCTCTCTGCTCAGCGGGGAGCCTGCTTCCCTCTCCCTCTCTCTCTCTCTCTCTCTGCCTGCCTCTCTGTCTACTTGTGATCTCTCTCTGTCAAATAAATAAATGAAATCTTTGGGAAAAAAAAAAAGAAAAAAAAAAGATTAGCTTTTACAGATTCTGATTCAGGGGTGCCTGAGTGGCCCAGTTGCTACCATTCTTGGTAAAGGTTCAGGTCAGGTCATTAGGCTGGGATCAAGCTCCATGCTCAGCAGGGTGTCTACCTGAGGACTCTCTCCATCTGTTCCCCCACCTGCTGCTCATTCTCTTTCATTCTAATATAAATGAGTAAGTCTTAAAAGAAAAAAAAAAAGAAAGATCCTGGTTCAGTCAGCCTGGTTATAAAGGCCTGGAAAACTCTGTTAGGAAGTTCCCCACCCTTCTAGTAACTTCTCTATATCCAGGTTGGAGAACACTGCATTAGGTATCCATAAATTCCTTTCCATAAAAAAGAAATTCTCCTCAAAATTCTGTATTTAACTCTAAAACAACTTTTTGGTACAAAAAAGGGTTACACATTGCATGTTAATCCCCTTTCATGAAGAATAAAAATGTCTTCCCTAGAGAGGACAAAATACTATCACAAGATAACAAAACAAAAAGAAACCAACTAACAGCTATTACTAACAACTAACAGAGAGTCTATTTGTAGGTTATTTTCATTTTTTAGGTTATTTAATTCTGTAATTAAAGAGATATTTTATTTCATAGACTCATTTTACAGGCTAAGAAATTTTACGGGTGAAGATACTTTATCTAAAGGCTAAAATCTTTATTTTACATGTTCCAATTTTCTTTCTTTCTTGATGCCCTTTCCCAAGATAGCTCTTCTTACCATGCCAAGTCCAGTTACTACTAATCTCATCTTACATCATTATTGGAAGGAAACTGGATTATCGGTAAAAAGAAATAAGGTAAAGAGACGCGGAAAATCACTATCTCAATTTCCCAAACTTCACATGAATCTAATAAATGGTAAAGAAACCAAAGATTAGCTAACTTGCACCCAAATACCATCTGAACTTCCTCGAGATTATAGTCTCAGATTCCATGTCTCTGGCTCACAACTGTGTAAGATACAGTGTTATCTTTTATAAGGTATTTCATTCTTAAATGTTCTTTGACAGAATAGTATAAAAATACAACTACAAAAAATGTTCAACCTAGCACTTTTCAATTATACACACTGAAATTTGGACACTGGTGCCAACAACGGTCTTGAAATTTAAACTTTAATTTTTATTAATTACTATACTAGAATATTATTCCTAAAGAAAATCATATATTTCTTCTATCACCTAATTATTTTCAAAAATACTAATGGTACACATTCATTTGCTATTTCTAAAGAAAAAAAATATACACTTATTTAAAGAAACTATACACTTATGATTTACTAACAAAATGAAATAAATTTTCCATTCAGTTTTTAACTTTACTTTGAATTCTTATGATCTTCCCAATTTTACAAGCACAAGAATTTCAAGTCATGCTCTGAGAAATATTCAAATCCTCAATATTAACAGAAGGAAAAGAAATCATTTTTCCACTAAAGTAGATAGTTGAAACAACCACTACTAGTGATACCACTCAATTAGAAACTAGACATTTCTATTTTTAAGGAAGTAATTGTGTTGATTATCTTTAACAACCACCACCTACCCAAATCAATCACGTAAAGTCTTTGACTCAGGCTTGTGCTCTTCCACTCTTATTCTCAACAACTCAAAGACAGAAACAAAAATACAGTAGATTTGAAAAGGTATTTATGGTCATGATTTCCCAAAGAGACAAAAGACTTATTATACTTAGAAATACTTACTTTCAACACTGGACAAAGTACAGGGATTACAGTCAATCAAAGCTAACTGAAAATGCTGTGAGAGAAAAGCAAAAATATTAACACATTAAGCTCAGAGCTCATAAAATCAACTTTTATATGTTAGGCTCTGTAAGATCTAACATATAATAATGAAAAGATGTTACACAACTAAAACATAATAGTGAACCAAATAAAATTAATGTCATTCAAAATCTATTATGGAAAGAAAAGTGTTACCAAGTTATTTATTCCCATCAGACAGCTAAAAATGAAAAATGCGAGGGATAAAAAACTTTATTTATCCTGTGTGTAGTACTTCTATTAGATGGAAAACACAAACCTATTTCAGTATTCAAGCAAAAAATTAAGTTACAGAAATATTTAATGACTCATGCTTTATAATTTATTATATAAAAATGGAAAAGTCCAACGGTATCTTTAAGTACATAAATGATTTTTTAAAAAATTATTTCAAAATGAAACTTCAAATTCAGAAACAAGAAAATTCTATGAGAATTATCCTAAAGAATAAAATATATTTGCTTTCACTGATTCTTCCATATCACTGTATTTCAAGACAGTTTAAAGCTGTAATCCCACATCTGTATCAAATGACCCATGTTCGGGGCACCTGGATGGCTCAGTCAGTTAAACATCATCCTGGGTTCCTGGGATGAAGTTACATGTCAGGCCTCCTGCTCAGCAGGGAGTCTGCTTCTCCCTCTCCCCTACCCCTCCTCCTGCCTCATTCTCTCTCAAATAAGTAAAATTTTAAAACAAACCATGTTCAATTTCATCTGTGGGCTGATTATACTATCCTTTTAAAAACTATATATTGTGTGTAAAATATGAAGAATCATTCATTAAATGTAATACTAACAATATAGCGCACTACTTCTTACTATATCAAATAAGAATAACGCACAATGTAGATTTGTAACTGTCTAGACAAATTTATATCTAGTATATCCTGAATAAACATATTAGATAAAATACTAATATTACCAATCATTTGCTAATCAGTTAATGCATAACAATATGTAATTTATATTATATGATAAAACACAATATTTGCTAATATTAATTAATAATATATAATTTATATTATAGGATATCTAATAATACATAATATACTAATTATATACAAGTCATTCATTTATCTATTTGTAGATATTAAAAACACAGATAACATTAATACATGAAAAAACTAATCGTTACTAAAAACACTAGGTTCTAACATCTATTACTTGCCACCATAAACATCACTAACATAAACTGCTCAACAGAAAACAATAGCACTTGATTTTTTTTTTTAAAGATCTTATTTGTTTATTTGACAGAGACAGAGAGACAGCAAGAGGGAACACAAGCAGGGGGAGTAGGAGAGGGAGAAACAGGCTTCCCGCTGAGCAGGGAGGGAGACGTGGGCTCAATCCCAGGACTCTGGGATCATGACCTGAGCAAAAGACAACACTCAATGACTGAGGCACCCAGGTGCCCCAAGCACTTGAATTTTTAAAGCTAAATGAAAAATAAGGCCTGTTGATCATTCTACAAAGTAGTCCCACAAAGTACATTACATTTTAAAGTTCCCATTTATTTTTTAATACTAAAATAATGAATTATAATATCATTAAGTAACCACAGGACAAATTCTTAAAATATCAACTACAAAAATGCTATTCATACATACAATGTGTATATTAAAAAAAAATTGTGAAACATACTGATTATTTCAAGTCTGAAATACCAAGTTGTACAAGTAGTTCAAATACTATCTTCTCCAAGTTTTTTAAAAACTACTCTTACATGCAGAATTAATGTGGAATTCACTGGAATATGTAACTATGCTTCTTCAAACAGCCTCAGATAATGACCCAAAATAAAATGTTTCTGATACTGTAATCAAAAAATAGTTGCAAATAGCATCCAAGGCAGAAACACTTAAGAGTGGAAACACAAGCTTGTTAGGCTTGTGCAAGATATGCAGGTCAACCTTTCTAACAAACAGTACTTGGAAAACTGGCCATCTACATGGAAAAGAATTAAGCTGAACCCTATCTTACACCATACACAAAAATTAACACAAAATGGATTAGATATGTTAATATAACAAACTATAAAACTGCTAGAAGATATGAAGGAAAATCTTTACAAACTCTAATTCAGGCAGTAACTTCTCAGCTATGACACTTAAAGGCATACACAACAACAACAACAAAAAATTAAAATATTCTGCAGATTAAAAAAAGACTACCCACAGAGTGTGAAGAAAACCCACAGACTGAGAGAATCTATTTGCAAATCATAGATCTGATAAGACATTAATATCCAGAGTATATTAAAAAAACTCCTATAAAATGGGGCACCTAGGTGGCTCAGTGAAGGTTAAAGCCTCTGCCTTCAGTCCAGGTCACGATCCCAATGTCCTAGGATCAAGCCCTGCATCGGGCTCTGCCTGCCTCTCTGCCTGCTTGTGATCTCTGTCTGCATATAAATACAATCTTTAAAAAAACAAAACAAAACAAAAACAAAAAAACCTCCTATAATTCAACAGGAGAACAAAGAACCCAATTTAAAAATGAGCAAACGATTTGAGTAAATATTTCTCCAAAGACAAAGCAAATGGTCAATACGCATCAGAAGGCACTTAAAATTAGTCATTACAGAAATGCAAAATAAAATCCCAATGTATTATCAATTCATTTTAAAAAAAGGAAGATTGATAATTTTTTTTTAAATAAAAGGAAAGAAAAGGAAGTGCTGCCAATGATGTGAAGATTCTGAAACCTCTGTAAGCTGGTGTGAATGTACATTGTACAGGCACTGTAAAAATCCTTACTTTTTCCTTATTTTTTCTTTTAATATTTTTATTTAAGGGGGCGCCTGGGTGGCTCAGTGGGTTAAGCCTCTACCTTCAGCTCGGGTCATGGTCTCAGAGTCCAGGGATCGAGTCCCGCATCAGACTCTCTGCTCAGCAGGAAGCCTGCTTCCTCCTCTCTCTCTGCCTGCTTCTCTGCCTGCTTGTGATCTCTGTCTGTCAAATAAATAAATAAAATCTTTAAAAATAATAATAATAAATAAATAAATAAATAAATAAATAAATAAATAAATAAATAAATAAATAAATAAATATTTTTATTTAGCTGAGAGAGAGAGAGAGAGATTGAGAAAACAGGTGGGAAGAAGAGCAGAGGGAGAAGCAAACTCCCCGTGAAGGGAGCATTGTCCACAACCACCAAAGTGGAAAAAACAAAATGTCCATAAATATGTGAATGAATAAAAAGACTGTTATATATACGCAATGTGTACTACTGAGCCAAAAAAATAAATGGAACCCTGGTATAAGAATACATATAAACCCTAAAAAAATTATGTTTAGTGAAATAAGCCAGACACAAAAGCACAAGTATTGTGTGATTCCATTTATGTTCAGTGAGACAGATAATATTACAGAGGTACCGGGGCCTGGGAGACAAAGGAATGAGAACCCACAATTTAATGGGTACAGAATTTTTGTACTATGCTGGAAAACATGGGAAATGAACAGTGGTGACAGTTACAGAACCTTATGAATATACTTAATGTCACTGAATTGTACACCTAAATGATGCACACATTTCAATGTCTAAAATAATTAGTATTGGGGCGCCTGGGTGGCTCAGTTCATTGCCTGTCTGCCGTCAGCTCAGGTCATAATCCAAGAATCCCAGGATCAAGTCCCTCCCACACTGGGCTCCCAGCTCCACGGGGAGTCTGCTTCTCCCTCTGACCTTCTCCCTTCTCATGCTCTCTCTCACTCTCTCAAATAAATAAATAAAATCTTTTAAAAATAATAAAATAAAATAATTAGTATTATGTATGATACAGTATAATAAAAATAATAATACTTTAATAATTCAAGAGAATACCTGAAAAAAATTAGGCTAACCCATATATAATACATTTCATACGTTTTAAAGCTTTAAAATGTATTCTGGGGGCCCCTGGGTGATACAGTCCATTAAACATCAGCCTCTTGGTTTCAGTTCAGGTTATGAACTCAGGGTTCTGGGATAAAGCTCCATGTCAGGCTGCAAGCTCAGCAAAGATGCTGCTAAAGTTTCTTTCTCCCTCTTCCTCTGCACTTCCCAGTGTGTGCTCTCTCTCTCTCTCTAAAACTAGTAAATCTTTAAAAGAATTATACCTATTATTTCCTGAAATGGGACAAATTATTAACATGAATATGGCCTTTAAACAGTAAATACTTTAGTCATTAATATACCAATATTAAGGATTATTAAGAACAAATAATGCACAGAACCATGGAGACACAGAGGGTATGAAGTTCCAAAAAAAACCCGATTTTTAGCAATATTCAATTCTGATCACAAAATATTGCACACTGCAGACATGCAACATGTCTTTAAGGAGATTTACGAACTCTTTATACTATTTCTTACATGTATATTTACTATAATCTGAAAATATAAGGTTAATAATAAACCAAAACTATATGTGAATTTACTAAAGAAACTTCCAACATTTGTGGCATCTGGGTGGCTCAGTGGGTTAAAGCCTCTGCCTTCAGCTTGGGTTATGATCCCAGGGTCCTGGGATCAAGCCCTGAATCGGGTTCTCTGCTCAGCCGGGGCCTGCTTCCCACCCCCACCCTGCCTACTGTGATCTCTGTCAAATGAATAAATAAAATCTTAAAAAAAAATTTTTTTTCCCAACATTTGAGTACTTAGAATAGTGTTTTTATTTTCTCATTCTGCAAGCCAAATATGTCTCCTTAATGTGATAACACAGCAAGATGAAACTTTTTTTTTTTTTAAGATTTTTATTTATTTATTTGACAGACAGATCACAAGCAGGCAGAGAGAGAGGTAGGGTAGCAGGCTCTCTACCAAGCAGAGAGCCCGACATGGGACTCGATTCCTGGACCCCAGGATCATGACCCAAGTCAAAGGCAGAGGCTTTAACCCTCTGAGCCACCCAGGCGCCCAAGACAAAACTATTTCTTCTTTTTTAAGATTTTTATTTATTTATTTGACAGACAGATCACAAGTAGGC